TGATGCAACATCAGGAATTGCTACTCAACATTGTAACGTCAAAACGGCGTCCAGATGGATAGTTTTTGGCGTCAGACGTCATTTTAGCAAGCCAGGGGACACTTCCGCAAGACATTTTGATTTTTTTTTGTAATTTTCTTATTAACTTATAAGAACTGGTGAAACCTAAATGTAGAGAAAGCAATTTGTAAGCACTGATATAAATTGTAAGTACTGATATAAATTTTAATAAATATTTCCTCTTGGCTTTAGAATAAATGAATAAGCTATTAACTAATATGTATTTGACATGACGTCATTTACGCTTCGGGACATGTTTGCAGGACACGGAAGATGTTTAATTATACACTTTAAAATCTAGAAAATTTTCATTATCTTTCTGCAACAGGTAGTTGTGTAAAAGCACTCAGTGTATTTCAAATCAAATTTGTTAATTTACTGACAAAATTTTCATTTTTCCTCCATTGAATATGCGGCACACTATAATTTCATTGAATGGGACATCTTAAAACACTTTATTTCAATGGATGTCCGTATCCATTAGAACTCTAAACAGAGGGTGTCAATAAAAATGTAACATCCAAATGTGATGTAATAGAACGATCCTGTGAAATGTCGAAGAGCTGTGAATAGATTTCTCAACTTTTTTTTTCAAGAAAAAAATCTGTAGAAAGTATTTTCTATTACAACGGGACAAGGCAGAAATCGACGTTATTCCCTAATATAATGGCCGTTCAATGTATGAATACCTATGGAATAATATTTATTTCTGTAACAATACTATTGGTGAGAAAAAAAAAACTTTATTCTCATAACACGGCATGTTTATCATCAGAACTATATTAGTAAGTGTAAGTTGAAAGCTAAATAAAATTATAATTTTTTGATAGTAGCAATTCATGACGCTGCATCTATCTGGATATTTTACTAGAAAAAGTCGTTGATGGTAACATAACAACAAAACGTTATGATAAACGTGGTGACTTCAACTTTTCTATCGTCAGCTTCCCTTATATATGTACCAATGTATCATTATCACCTGCATATGGAGTTTATGTCTTCCAGTTGATTCGATAAGCAAGAGCGTGCTATACGTGCGAACAATTTCCTTCACGATGCAAGCTATTGACAAATAAATAAATAAAACAAGAATATCAACTGTCTCTTTTAAAGTCAACATTTCCCAAAATCTATGGTCGATATAATGATCATGTCAGCAAATACAATCTATCATTATGTCGAATGTTGACTAATGTTTTTCATACAAATTATTTGGCCATTATTTTCATACTGAATTGTCTACGGATTTTCCGTTTTCCCGATCATGACAAGGAGCACACGGCGGGCGTGACCGGTCAACAGGGGACGCTTACTCCTTCATGACACCTGATACCACCTCTGATATTTTTAGAGGCCCGTTTTTGCCCTCCTCCAAATTTGTATTGTTTCAATGGACTTTTGAGCTTGATTACTGTTTGATATCTTCATATTTCATGCTAATACTTCATTATGAAGAGGATCTCTGAATTGTTGTTGGATATGGTATTTATTTCACGAGTGGTATAGGATTTTTGATATTTTCCTGAGTGCGAAGCACAGTGAAAATATATTTAAAATATTCTGTCTCACGAGTGAAATAAATTCAATATTCAGTCCAACTTTAAAATAATGTTTGTTTGCCCTCTCCCGATTGATTCAGAATGAAAAAAAAAACTTGATTCGGTCGGTAGGTGTGAATTTTTTCCCCAGAAAATATAAATTTTAATGCTGAATTTTGAAAGTCTGTTTTCCAGAATGCATAAAAAATAATTGCTTCCTGGAGGTTAGAAAAGGTTTTGAGTCGAGCCATTTTTAGCCAGTCGGTCGGGAGAGGGCAACCAAACAAGTTTTTAAAGATGACCTCAATTAATCAATTGTTTATTACATTTTCAGTGACTTTCCCCGTCTTCTCTTTTTGTAACGCAGTATCGTAGCTTGTGACGTCATAGTTGAGCATTGGAGACGTCATAGCTTAGCGATTGTGAAATTTGGAGAAACTTATCTCTGTGAGGATGGTTAATTTACTCACTATCTTGTAAACATGCTAGGGGGTATTTTTTCCCCAATACTCTTCGTGAAGGGAAGGAAAATCTCGAGTTTTGCCGTTATTCTGATATTTTTCCACCTGTGAAAAAATATCACTTTCATATTTTTTCATTCTGTGAAAAAAATCACTTTTATTCAATAAATAAATAACAGTATTTCACTGTAATGATGATATACTTTATAGTGTGGTAATTATTTAATTATTAATTTGTCATTGTCATTTTAAAGGGAGAGTGATTGCAACAATTTCTGTTTAATGTGAGCATGAATTTTGATCTCCACTTATGACGTTGCACTTGAGCGGCATTCAACGTTTATGAAGTCAAAATAAAACGCATACTTTAACATCTTGACCCCGCCCTGTCCGTATTACGGTGTTTTGAATGTCGGCGCTTTCCAGACACTTTATAAGCAAAAGAAATGTGGAATGTAAATTTAATAAAATAATACAAAGCAAAATTTCCGCAGAACAAGATAGGTGCTAATTTCAACACGTGTGGAAAACATTTTCCATGTATTGGAGAACATGCTTGTCAATGTTTTGGAAGAGAGAAATAGCGCCAGATATTGTTTGTAAAATGTCTGTCCAAAAATTTGAAATATTTCAACCGAAATGATGAATCTTAGAATCGAGTGTGTCTTAAAATATTTTCACAACACGGGGGATTTTTTTAAAAACTCAAATCTCCAATCTCTTTTTCAAGATCATCTCCATTTATTTCCAAAAAACTCAATTCAAAGAGCGTCATTGTGCGAAAATTAGTTGTTTTAGCATTCTTGGCGATCTGACATTTATTTTCAATTTTCAAATTTACAATTTTGGAATATCAAAAATAGGTGGTGCTACATTACCTACAGTTTTGTTGAGGTCTTCCTTACTTAACGCGCTCAATTTTAAGTTTCATCATCTCGGCTCTATTTGAAATACCAATATCTTCAAATTCTAGCACAGACAGCTTACAAACAGTCCTTTCTAATCTGCTTTTTTCTGTTCATAAGCCCTAAATTTGCAGCCCCAGTTTCTTCAATATGTGCAAAATGTTTTCCACGCGTGTTGAAATGAGCTCCTGCATGTAACGTTAAGGAGGCTGGGGTCAACAAATTAACCATCAGATATAACTTAATTTTTTAGATATGATATCTTAAGCTGTCAACTACCATTTGGCAAACAAAATTTCATACATTTTAGTTTTAAAATTTGATCATCTTTGTATATCTTTATATGGACCTCTTCTTCTAAAGGAGATCAATATAGTCTGAAAATGGCCACAACCACCCAGCCCTCTTAAAGTATCATCATATAATGTCAACGTACCCTCAAATAATGAAGATGCATGAGCAATCAAAAAACAAACTATCAACATGTAATGACGAAGTATCAGCACATAATGAAGGAATGGCAAAGTATCAGCCAATAATGAGGACATATTAGTATATATTGTGCCATGGTATCAGCATACAATGAAAAAATATCAACACGTAATGTCAAAGTATGATCGTGTAATAAAAAAATTATCAGCATATAAAGACAAAGTGTCGGCCTGTAATGATGTATCAGCATATAAGAGACACAGAATGTCACAAAGGAGTTATTATAGCAGGTCAGCATGTCAGTATGCAGTTTATGTATATAATTTAGGGAATTAGCAAGATTTCGTGCAGTTCCAGAAGGAAAGGACTATTTTATGAGGCGTAGCCGAGCGAAATAGTCCAGATCGAGGGGGAACTGGAATCTTGCTAACTCCCTCAATGATAAACTTTTGAACTGACTATTGTACTGATACATATTTTGAAGCAGGGATTATCTCACTTAACTACTGCAGGCAAAACAGCAATTAGTCCATTCACAGTGATTTCTAGGAAATTCCTCACATTTAACAATCTAATTTTATATAAGGAAAAAATCAGTAGAGGTATACATGTAATAACATGTTATAAAGAAGTATCAGTATGTAAAGACGAAGTGTCAGCATGTAAAAATTGTATCAACATTTAACGAAGAAGTAACAGAAGTCAGAAGGCAATGAAGATGTATGAGCATATAAAAGACAAAGTGTCAATTTTTAATATTTACTTTTGCTGTGTTTTTCTACTAAGCCACCTTTGAAATTGATTTTGAAAGCCATTTTTGTGTATACTCACGCGTAGAAATATACACGGAGAAACTCGCGCTAAGTTGACGTCACAATGAATCTTCAGAGACGTTAATAAAAATATGACGATATAGCGCAGCGAGAAATTTAAACACTGAGTATATTTTTGGTGCATTTAAGCATAATAAATGTAAATATAAGAATTGTTTTTAAATTTTGTGTGAGTTATTGGTGTGTAAATCACACAGACTTGCACGTCGGCATATTTTTCATGAAGCGCTAGTGTGCTTCATGAATTATTCCTATGTGACAAGTCTGTGTGATTTACACACCAATAACTCACACAAAACTTAAAAACATTCCTTAAATGAAGATTACAGCGTATGTAATGAAGAAGTTTCAGCATATAAGGACAAAGCGTCAGCATGTAATAAAGAAGTATCAGCAAGTTAAGAAAGTGTCAAAATGTAAAAGTGAAACGAATAAGTTTAGTCAAATAAGTAATTTTTTCTAGACTTCTTAAATGTCCTTACGCGATAAAAAAAATATAGATTTAAAGGGGTAACGACAAAAAGTAATTGAATATTATAGATATTATAGAAAATCTACAATTTTTTTTAATGTTTAGGAATTTGATATTTACATCAGTTACAAGTAAATAAATAAGTTAAGAGTGACATACCAATTCAATTTTTTTTCGTATAAGTGTCCATCAAAATATACTCATCTTCAAATCACGGAGAAAAGTTTTTCAATCTTGAATACATGTGAACTTCAAACCTTACGGTAGTGTCTCTTTTCATTTCAGACACCTTGACAATCATGCCTGAGAAAACTCGGGCGGCACTGGGAGGGTGTCAGAGATTTGAATGTCGGGTGATAGGATACCCACGTCCTACGATACAGTGGTTCAAAGATGGACGTAACATCACTAGAGATGATCGTTATGAGTTTGACTATTCTATTGAGGGAATTATCACCATGGTGATTAGTAACGTGACGGAGAAGGACCAGGGTGTATACTCCTGTAGGGCCGAGAACTCGGAAGGCTGGGCCGCCACTGCCGCTTACCTCAATGTCAGAAGTAAGAACTTGCTAATATTCCAGACACAGTAACCATGTCTAAGAAGTATTTCAGTGAAGATTCATCTAAAAAGTAGAAAAATATATATATTTTAAAAAAAAAAAATGAACGTTCCATTTATACCCCCTCTCAAATTAGTCGTTGGTGCTGTAAATGACTTTTGGAATATAAGTCTTACACATATCTTCTAAGTACATGTAAATGTGATTTTGTAGTACTTCATGACATTGAACAATTGTCATTCTTACACATATCTTCTAAGTACATGTAAATGTGATTTTGTAGTACTTCATGACATTGAACAATTGTCATTTAGATTGGGTCAAAAATCACAGGGAATGGACACTTCTTAATTTTGAATTGCAATATTAAAGGATTAAACAATTTTTTTTCAAATATTGGTATAAGATTATTTAGGTATTGAACTCTTATGCTTTACCAAAACTTGGGAAAATCTGAATTAACTGCAAATCTTCTAATGTTGTCTACGGAATAGAATGTAATCTTTGTGGACTTATTTATGTTGGTGAAACCAAGGGTTCACTTCATAAAAGAATATCGGGTCACAGATTTCAAATAAACAACGGGGGTCAGCAGCTTCTCTACAAGCACTTTACCTCATCATTCAATTTTGTCAATGAAAGTTAGAATTTTAGAAAAGATTTACCATCACACAAACAGTCCATCATTGAATACACCTTTCCGTAGACAACGAGAAGAATTTTGAATTAGAAAACTAGGGACGGCCTTTCTCTATGGAAGCAATGACAATGTCGATAGTGTTGGGAATGTTTCCAGTCCACAGTGTAACAATATCAATGTGATGGGACTTTTCAACCATACACAGAGACGTAAACGTAGTCATGGGCATCGGTCTTACAATAAACCTTTAATACACGATGTCTCTTTTGATTCATTACTACCTTATGTAAATCAGCAGTTAGGTCTTCATCACATTCGCACCAAACTTTACTCTGTCCCTTCGAAACTTTCTAATAGTCTACTTGAAAAGGTCAAGGAAAGCCCATTTTTTGATTCCTTGACACCAGAATACAGGCTCGGATCTGTGATTATGGATATTGCAAATCACATGCTTTTTAAACCGCCACGTTTTACAGAAGAAAAACTCCAATATGCCAGCAAAGGAATTGACGCGGTTAATATAAGTAATATTCTTAATCACAAAAGGGTCCAGTCTTGTATTCCACCATATTTCAAGTTGAAGACTACACCTTGTATTTACTACATATATACATCGACTATTGCTTCCAAACTTTTTAATTACAAGAAAACTTTACAATGCCTGGATATCAAATATCTGAAACATAATCCTCCATCGTGTTCATGTTCTTCTTCATCCTATAACTATAGTGTTGCTGGACACGTTACATTGTATTACTGGTGACGTAAATATAGTTAATAATGAGGACCTTAGATCACTAAAAAATTTTTAAAAGGTCCTAAATATAGGGAACCCCGATCCTTTAACTGGCGTTGTAATTTCATTTATATTATGGATTCTGTAGAGGATTACGCCAGGGTTGGGTCAGACATGAAAAAGAAGACCTTGACACTTTGTCAAAATGGATTAAATGTATCAGATATATGTTAAAATCTCGCATTAAACGATTGAGGGGCAGTATGAAAAACATCTATCCTTCTGTATTCAATAATTCAGAAGTGAAAAGAGAATTAGATTACACGATCAGTACGTACTGGTCCCTGCTGACAAAGCAGGTAACAACATTGTCTTTGTTTGTAAGGCTCTTTACATAAATTGCCCGAAGGGCTTTATGGTAAATTTGATCTCGTACCAACCCGTATTTATAGCCCGATAGATGTTTTAAAATGATACCTTATTACTTATATTTACATTTGTGACTTGTTCATATTTTATACTTACCTGATTATAATCTTTAACGCGTTTAAAATTTTCAAACCCAACTGATCCACTGATTGCGCGTCGACCCTTTATGACGTCACAGAAAAATTACGTCGAACAATTATGACGCGGGGAACCCGTGTTTATACGGATATAGATACGCGTTGCTCTTAATAGTGTTATATAAAAGAAAACATTTGCAAATGTAAATGTATCCCGATAGATGTTTAAAAATGATACCTTATTTATTAAAAAATTCCAAGGAACTTTCGGAACACTTGAAATCACAAAATTAAAAAAAAAAAATTAACAACATAAAAACTTACGACTTTTCAACTTTATATACAACTATTCCCCACGATAAATTAAAGTCCAGACTTTCTGACATCGTTGACAGCTGCTTTTTCAATAAAAATGGAACTCGTAAATTTACTTACCTTGTCATTGGTCATTTGCAAAATTACTTTGTCAAAAAACAATCTGATCGTACACACAAGTACTCTGAAGTTGACATTAAAAAGATGCTTGAGTTTCTGATTGACAATATCTATGTGGTTTTTGGAGACCAGGTCTTCCAACAATGTATTGGAATTCCTATAGGTACCAATTGCGCCCCGTTATTAGCAGACCTATTTTCGTATTCATGTGAAGCAGAATTTGTTCAAAATCTTCTATAAGAAAAGAAGAAAACACTTCAACTCGACATTTAGATATATCGACGACGTATCGTCAATTAACAATGGTTATTTCCATTCTTATGTCGACACGATATATCCCGCTGAGCTTGAGATAAAAGATACCACAGAGTCTGACACATCTGTTTCTTATTTGGATATTTTATTAGAAAAAGACATTAATGGTAATCTAACAAAGCTTTATGATAAACGTGGTGACTTTAACTTTTCAATCGTCAACTTCCCTTACCTATGCAGCAATGTACCCTTATCACCTGCATACGGAGTTTATATATCTCTGTTGATTCGATACGCCAGAGCATACATGTATGAACAATTTCTAAAACGAGGTAAGTTATTGACAAACAAGTTGATGAAACAAGAATATCAGCAGTCTCGTTAAAAGTCATCATTTCGTAAGTTCTATGATCGATACAATGACCTAGTCAGCAAATACAATCTATCATTAAGTCAAATGCTGACTGACTTTTTTCATTCTGATTGTTAGGCCATTATTTACACACTGAATCGTCGACGGATTTTTTTTCCGTTATTTCCGATCATAACAAGGAGCACATGGCGGGTGATACCGGTCGGCAGGGGATGCTCACTCCTCCATGGCACCTGATCCTACCTCTGATGTCTTGGAGGTCCGTCTTTGCTCTGCTCCTATTTTGTAATGTTTAATGGACTTTGAGCTCGAATACTGTTCGTTATCTCCACATATTTCATGAAAATGTACCTGAAACCTTAAAAAGTAATGTTAGGCACAAATGAAAGGTAGATTATACCCAGCTCAGAATGCTGTTTGTGTTTATATCTTGACAAACAAATGTATTTTTCTCTATCTCAGCCAAAGTCATACTGAAGATCTGAAAATTGACTTCAGATCTCTTATGAAAAGGTGAAATTAAGTTAATTAAAATGCAGTTTATTACAAACTAAAACACCTCAGAGGGAAAAAATTGGGATAAGGAGATAGTACTCGTGTACGGCAGTGATTTTGGAGATTTTGTAAAAAAAATTATATTAAGTCTATATTCATTTCTATCCTATACATTGTACATACGTTTGTTCAGCGAAATCTCTAAAACAATCGTAGTACTATTTTCTCTACTGACAAAATGGTGTCGTTCATTAGCCTAAGATTTATTGAGCCAGAACATTTCAATGCATATACTTTAAATAGATGATAAAAAGGAAAAAAAAATATAAGCAAACGGAAATTTAACAGATTAATATATCTCGGAGCTAAAAGATAATAATTAGAATTATTAGAGCTAGGCAATAATGAATTGATTCACGACACATTTCTTTCAATGATAATTTGTTTAAAAAAAATCAATTATGCCAAAGTTTAAAAGTTGTTTTAAAAACATACGTACAGAGAAAGACAGAACTAGAAGCGAAAGAGAAAGAGAGAGAGAAGAAGATTGTGTGCATGTTTAATGATGCAGTGTGTGTAGGTATGATCAGCTGGAAATCTTTTATTTACGTTGAACGCATGCAGACAGGTAGCGTGGCCGAGCGGTCTAAGGCGCTGGTTTAAGGCACCAGTCTCTTCGGAGGCGTGGGTTCGAATCCCACCGCTGCCAAGAATTTTATTAAAGCTACAATTTAAAAAAAAATACTAGAGAAAGTATTGTTATTATAAAAGTGTAAAGTATTATACATAAAGTTCGTCTTTTACATGTACAGAGAGGGAAAATATGTGCTCAAAAGCAGAGTCCACGATAAATTAATGGGTTGCAGAATTCTTTTAAATTTGATAAAAATTCTTTCTAATGAAATAGATTTTCACAATTCGTCATTCTTTATTTTGTGCTTTTATATACAAACACACACAAACAAAGGGAGAGCTGTCAATATGACAGCAAATCGGGTTTTCTTTTGCGAGAACAGTAGTGATATTTCTCATTAATTGAATTTTCTGTTCTGAAAACTGTGTTGTGTGATATTTGGACAATATTAATGTACCCTATGAACATATTTGCCAAATAATTACTAAGTTCATTTAACTGATATTTCCTCCATAAATGATCAAAAATAAATTCAAGGTGCCATACAAATCTCTGATACATGCACAACTGCTCTAAAAAATACAAAAAAAAAAACCCCTCCCTGTATTGAAAACTGTAGGCCGGAGGAGTTTTCCAGACAAATGATGTACCATATAAGCAATATTTTGCATAAAAATGACTTAGTTTTACAACTGGTATTTTTCTCTTAAATTATTGAAAATCAAAATCCATATACCATGTACATCTCTGATATAACTATATGTGAATTCACCAATCCAGGACCCTCAGGGGGCATTTACAATCATATCAATAAGATCACATTCAAATGTCATAATATTATGAAATATTAATCATTTCTACAGTACAGGTACAAATGGAAGATATACAGTGCCACATTTATGATACTCGTGAAAATATAATGTAAAATATGTAACATTTTCACAGTTGTCTGATATATGTACGATTGATTTGCAAAATATAAACTTCTTATCTTGAAAAATGTAGGCAGCCGCCTGCCCGCCATTTTTCCTATGGAAAACCCGGTTTTAAAAATCGGAACAAAAAATAAATAAATAAAAAAAAAACTTATCCTAATTTTATGATGGGGGCAAGAATTCGATGAATGGAAACATGAAAAAGGCCATGCATTCCGAGAACACAATCAATTATTGTTTTTCCGTGCTTAATTTAAGTGTTCATATGTTTGCTTTATTTGTAACTGTAAAGCTTTGTAGTTTGTTCTGGTTTTCTGTGTGGAATTTTATTGATGTAACATTTACTACGTAACAGTTATAAGCTACCAATGAAGACTCCTCATTAACGTAATCAATGTTTAAGTGTAACTATACATTTCCAAAATTTCTTCTGTCTCAAGTTACTTTTATTTCTGGCGTTTACAAAGAAACTTAGCCCTTCACAAATTTTCTCATCCCCCTAAATTTGTTACAGAAAACATTTCCTCTAGAGATTTCAACAAGAATCTGCATACTGTGAAATCGTTATTATGCATGTATATGATGTTCATTATACTCCTATGTACTCTATTTTGGTTATGTTATAGAATTTTTAACTTGAATATAGAATTCAGATCAAAGCAGCACACGATGTAGTGAGGAATAATGGGTTTTTCTTTGTAACACCAGCCTTGTTATCAATAAACAGATAACAGTTTCTGATTTATTTGATTTTTGTTTGCAGATAAATGGCGACCTTTCTATGAATAACACGAGCGTTGAAAAACACGAGCCAAACATCAGATTAACATGCACTCTAAAGTTTGTTCCATGAGTAATTCTATATTTTGAAATAGCTAATGCAAGTTTTTTGTTGTGTGTCTTTCTTCTTAGTTCTGTTCGTACAAAAAACAGAACGTGTGCTTCTTATCTTTGGCCATTAGAAACAGATATTGCAAAAGACTGGCAACATTCCTAACGTACATGTAAGAGTGGCATCAAAGGCGAAAAACACAATTCTGCGAACAAAGCTAAAAAATCAGTGATATTTAATATATTTATAAATTCCTACAGTTGTTGAAAAAATGCTCCAGCTCCATCTTTTCCATTAAAACATATCCTTCTTCTTTTTTTAATTAATTCTCTTTATAAAAGAATATTAAATATCATATATTGAAAATAAATTTCATAGACTTACTGCTTGCGTTTCAACTACAAAACTTCTCACAATTAGAAATGTTGTAAAAAAGCAAACTCTCAAATAAATAAATAGATAAATAAATAAATAAATCATAATTAAAAAAATTAAGCAAGCCGAAAAATGTATTGCGCACAAGTGAATTTTCCTCTTAACCAAAATTACGGTAATTTTAGATCCATGACTTGCAAAAGTTAAAACCTTACATGTAGATTATTAGGAAAATAAGCAATTAATTAAAATGAATTTGGCGATCTCGTAAACCCTATCCATATATGAAAGCAAAACAATGTGCGAAAACAAGGACAATACCGTATACAGAAAATCATTCAGATATGAATAGGTTAAAAATAGGTTCACGCAACACTAAAAAGTATTCTAGCATGTTTCACGTTTTCTTGGAAGTGATGTCAGATGTGGTTATATTCGAGGTCTTTCGATAATAAATATTCATAAAATCTTTGTTTATCATTAATAATGCTGATATATGAATCTCGATACACACGTCGTAATAAATTAATTTTTAAAATTCTATTTTAAAAAAAAAGACACCACATTGTTAAAAATAAACAAAATGACAGACCATTTCAATCTGATAAAACTCTTATCTGTATCGGTAAAATAGAATTAAATCGTATTTAACATTGATCTTATTATCATTTTAAAGAAAAGTCAAAATCTTATCCACCTTGATAATCTTAAAATTATATTTACATTAAAAGAGGCGTTTTGATCCAATCCAATTAAATTTTACATTATTTAAAAGTCGACATAGGGGCAAGGGGTTATGTATTTGTTGTTTTAAATAGGGATTGAAAATTGTATTTCATATCTTTCATTGAACAGGTCTATGGGAAGCTTTTCCAGATTACAGAATTTGGGATAGGGGAACGAGGACTCTTTAAATTATCGTCAAATGGCAAACAGGTTTTCTTAACCTACTTCAGGGGTGGGGGAGGGGTTCAAATTCCATGTTCAATACCTAATAAACAAAATGTAGAATATGCCAATTCTTATTTCATGAAGAGGTCGACATCCTGAAATTAAGATCGCTGTTCCTGGCACACGACAATTATGTGAAATGGTCCATAATTCTGCTTAATTTTTGAGCATGTTATTTAAGTAAAAATTATGGTTAATTTAAGTTAAAGAATCTTTTTGTTTTAAATCTAAATTAAAATCGAAATGTATAGAGATTCATTTACTACATGAACGAGTTGTTAATCAGAGATTTCATAAATATGATAAATATGATAAAATTTGATAAATATGAGTGACACTGTTCCCAAGAATAAGTCCATTTATTTGTCTAGCCTTGTACTCTACTTTGAATTCCATATAAAACTGGGGCTTTTAATCGAGCCAAACCGCATTGAAATTAGGCTTTTTACCCTTTTTTGCATAAAGTTTTTTTTTATAGTGTAATTATCAAATTTCTCACTTTTGTAAAGTAGAAGAAAGGGGAAAATGTTAATTACTATATACATGTATAGTTCAAAACATCAAAGTATAGAAGGCCTCTTGCTAGTATTAAATAAATCTATATGTGTTACAACATATTTTAAACAGTTGTTTTGTTATTATTAATTTATTACTGACAATAAAATTTTGCAAAATTTGACAAGTCCAAAAATGACTTTAGCGTCCTTACAATTTAACAGATCATGAAATTTAATAACATTAGGGTTAGCATAAAAAATATTTGGAACAAGTTTTTTTTCGTTCTCTTTTGAAAAAAGCACATTCTAAAAGATAGTGGAATTCATCTCCTAAATTGTTAGAGGAACAAAGATCACAAATTCGATCATCTCTGTCAACACCCCAAAAGCGACCTTTCTCAATTGGAAATCTGTGATTCATACATCTAAATTTACATAAAGCTTTTCTCAAATCATTTGGAAGATAAATCAAATATTTTTTTCAAAACAATGTTCTAATTTAAATAACCTATAATTAAGGGTTTTTGGCATATCAAAAATACTGGCATACCAATTCTGCTTAAATTGATCAATTAATCTAGTTTTTATCAATTTTGACACCAACGTTTTCTTTGGAGAATACTGTTGTAACCATAACTCGGACATTCCACAGTCATTTAGTGTTTCTTCAACATAGTTAATCCACTTAGACTGCATTAAGTGCAGTACAGTGACCTTTACGATTGATTTTAAATTACCCATTTCGTCTGGTTCAGAACATTGGAAGTTCTTGGTTTTCATTATGATTAGAATTCCAGTGAGAAATTTCATTAGATAAGGTGCACTTTTTACCAATCTATCCTAAATCCCAACTATAATAAGTTTTTTTTTCGGACACTTAATATAGTTCAAAAGAACTATTGCCCTGTTAACAAAGGCTGTATTTTTTTTGTTCAGGCATTATTTATCTGTCTGGCAAGCTATCTCTGCATATTTATTTTAAAATTTTCTAGAATTTCCAACCAAAAGGGGTTTGTCAACCCTGAGTGTTTTTAAGGGCTATTTAATTTGCACTAGAGATGCAACTGTGCACATATACAAGAATTGAATGCAAACGCATTAGAGCTAATTCTTAACAATACTTCACATTTACAAATATCTTCATTTAACTTACAAATTATTCCTTTTCAAACAAATAGATGATTATAGTTGTAGATGAACGAGTAGAACACGAGCTCATGTCGGTCCATCAGATGAAATTTGAGGTGGGCGGTCTCTATGACCAACAGAACGACGACCAGATCCCATTAGACGCCCAGTTTGACTCATTCATCGAACAAATCACAGGCAAAGGAGGCCACTTCAACATCTCATCGTCTCTTGAGGGAATGGAGAACCAGAAGAATGAGAAAGGGAGAAATGGAATCCAAATTACTAGCGAAATAGACAACCACAAAGATTTGAATGAAGGCATTATTTCAGCAGATGTTGAATGCGATGACAGTGGGATTGGGCTGGATCTCGAGAAATCCAGAATGTCATCCACAGAGGAGGTCACTGATGAAGCAGATGGCCAGAAGAACAGACTCGGTATGAAAGGAAGAAGTTTACAGAAGGACTTACAAGATGGTGGCTCCATCGATAAAGCAGAGGTCTATGGCGAAAAGGAACCTTCGTTAACGATACAGCCAAAACGTCGCTTTTCTGATCTTGATGTTCATTTAAAAATGATGGGCGATAAGACCTATCCATTTTTTCAACCAAATCCGGAAGAATATCCAGAAATAGATGGACCAGCAAACACAGGAGACATTGTGGCTGAATCAGATCAGTTAGAACTGAAACAGGAAGCAAAGGTGGATAACTGTGATCAGGAAGCAGTTAGTGGACTCTCACTGAAACATGATTCTCATCTCAATGGTAAAGAAAACAATAATGTTGTTTTATCTCCTGTAATGGATGTGGACATTGATAATACATCGAAAGAAGGTGTTTCTGATTCGAAACCCGTTTTAGAATCGGTAAATGAAAACTCATTAGACAAGGATATAAACAATAGCAAGCCAGTTGATAAGGAATCGAAGGCAAAAAATGTTACAGAGGAGAAAGACGACAGGGAAAAAGCTGAAGCAACAGAAAAAGATTCAGAAGATGCAGATCTTCTCGATGATATGCTGGAATATCTGAAGAATAATAGGAAAGGTTCTAGGCGATCAATGACGACGGATAGCGGTTTAGGAGATGATGATTACAGGTACAGTATACAATACATTTTATCAACAATTGTTTACAACAGGTAAGGGAGAAAAATATGTGTAAAAAGGCTTAGGAGACGAGTATGTAATCCATACTTTTTGTTTTCTTTTGTTCTCTATATCTTCATTTATTTCTCTCCTAGGGACAGCTCTCCCGATTCTGATTGTGAAAACCATGAACATCGGCGGAAACGATCACAAGACAATACAGACCACCACTCGAAAGGAAAGCCATCCGTCTTTAGCAAACCTTTGAACAAGATGAAGATACCAAAGATTTTAATTGAAGAAAGTGATGAAGTAGAAGAACAAGAGTTTTTGCATCCTGAAGTAGTGACCGAATCCCAAACAGAAAGAGATCCCACTGTAGCGGTACCTGAAGTTCTTGATTCACCGAGATCTCACACTGAGGAAATGAACGAGATGGACAAAGAGAACATTGAACCTATTCAAAAATCACATTTGGAAAATGCAATGAGAGTAGAGGTGGACATTGTCCAAGGCAACAACAATATCGAAAGTATGATATCCGCAAATGTAGTTGCAACTGAAGAGGCGCCGTGTTCAAAAGTTGACTTGGTGGAAGAAAAGGAAACCAAAAATGAAGAAGATAATGAGAAAAGAGAAATACAGAAACAAGATCTTCACGTACCTATTGTTTACGCTGAGCTAGAGTCGGATATCGATACTGCTAGCGAAATTGGTAACATGACCGAACTTTACGAGACAGCGGACGATACTGAGTATGAAAAACGACTAGCTACACAACTAGAGTCTGAACTTGGAACCAGTATGGAAAGTATTACAAACAAGGACGACGAGGAGAGACTCAAGATTCTTGGTAGAAGATATGAGCTGAATACCAGCAGTAGGGAGAGCAGTATGCCTGTTAGTGATTACGATTTCCAGTGTCGAAAAGATTCCTTGCGAAACGACAGGCGATCCACTCTCAGAAAGCAATACATGATTGTGGATTCTGATGAAGACGATGATACTCATAGTCTTCGTCCTGTGTATGATGATGATTACTTTGCAAGCACAGAATCCTTGGGAATAGGTGTATCCAGAGAGAGTTTGGACAAAACATTCTCGCAGTTGGAATTGTTATGCGGAGAAGTTATTCCTGAGACAGATGAAAATGTTCTTTCCAGAAGTGGTTCCCGAGATGACGGTTGCGATCCAGTTGAAAATGATAACAAGGATTTTAAGATGCTTGAAAAAAATCAACAGAATCCGAATATCTTTACAGAGTGTTCAGATACAGCATATTCTGAGAGTTTGTCTTCTGAACCTGAGGATATTGAGGATATTCTAGCAAAGAAAGCAAAAGAAATTCAGCAAGAAATGGATACTCTTAGTCTCGCATGGACAGAGGAAGAATCTGTTGAAAACCAGAAGATGTCCAATAACGTAGAAAAGCTTCAGGATACGAAACCAGAAGTCCCTAACCAGATTATCCACACAGAGATTGGAGATAAAGTACAAATCAAATCGAGGAATGAAAGTTTTGTCAGGGAATCTGAAAGACCTCAGGAAACTACTGAAGATTCGCTCGCATCTTCTCCTTCGTCTGAAAAGGCAAAACTTAGTGAATTAAATGAAGGTTCTCCCTTAAAGGCAGAACTATCTAACAAAGAGGTCTCTTCGACTAGAGAAAATGTTTTGAAAGAAAGGGAAGGAAAGTTAAATATTATTGAGGACATTTCTGAAGAGCAAATGAGAGCGGCAGTAGAAAACGAGAAAGACTCTCTATTTGTTCAAGCGGAAGTTAAGAAGACCAAAGAGCAAATACAAGATTGTTTAAATAATTGCGAAACAGATTCAGCCAAACGAGAACAAAGTTCTGTCAGTGAACATGAACCAGTTAAACAGGTTGATGAAGGCGTCATTGTTGCAACAGATTTAGCTAAACGAGAACGAAGTTCTGTCAATGAACATGAAACAGTTGAACAAGTTGAAGAAGACATCATTATTCCTCAGAATGAAGAGCCAAATGATACTATACCAAAGTTTGTCGACGTATCTAAAGATACAATCCCTCAACAGCCATCTGACGAGATGATTGTACTGGCAGACGTAGACACAGACGAAATGAAGTACCGATCTCCAATGGACGATTTCCTGATGTCGAACAGCAAAGTCTCCAGTAAACGGAAGAAGACGAGACCTGTCATTTTGTCTGCTTCATCTGACGTCACAATTAAAGAAGGCCAGTGTCTGGTACTGGAATGGGAAATCACAGGTTTGTCACTTCAACTTTAATTTAAAAATCTATACATTATAAATTATTTTTCACCAGGAGCATGAAATAGGAGCAATGTGCATTGAAATCAAATATCATAGATTTGCCATACAACTACTAGAAAAAGGTTAAATAACAATTCCACAGTAGATAATCAATTAGTTTGAAAACAAACAATCTTTCTTTCAAAAGGAAACCCCGAACCAAAGGTGGAATTGTACAAGGATGGTGCCTTGCCCCGATTCTGTAATGGAGATGGTCTATTCCACGACTCAGACTTTGTGACATTAGAGGTTCTCCACAGTTCACCTAGTGATACTGGCTGCTATGAGCTTCACCTAACCAACGAATTAGGAACTGACGTCAGTTTAATCAACGTCATCGTGAAGGAGAACTCACGTGAGGGATCTTTGGTCTTGGAGAAGCCTTTTGAGAGGTAACTTTGTATCTCATAGACAATTTGCAATGGAAATTTTAAAAAAATTGCATATGAATTCTAACATCAGTTTTCGGAAGAAGTTGATAGTATTTTAGCAGCTGATACTATATATTATCTTGTATTAAATGTATCTACATCATTTTGGGGATTTAGGGCAAATTCTCCACCAACTTTCACAGTAATGCCAGGTGACGTCAAAATTAACGATGGGCAAACCATTGTTCTAAAAGCCAGTGTTGATGGTAAATATCAGACAAATTAATTATAATTTTTCAATTTTTTTCTGTAGACAAACTCTTAAAATTCGTTTCTAATTCCACTTTGCAGGTTATCCCAAGCCTTCGATTCAGTGGCTAAAAGATGACGAAGATCTTCAGGAAAGTGCCCATTGTGACGTCATAGAGGAAGCCACATATAGTTGTCTTGTAATCCCTAATCCTACACAAGAGCATGTCGGACATTATGTCTGCAGGGCGGTAAATACGGAGGGAGTGTGCGAGGCTTTCTTTGCAGTCGCCATGGAACTGGGTAGTTAGAATTTTATGCACTAACTTTGTGAAAATTCCATTTTTAAGTGCATTAAAAAATTAATTTAAATGTTGGAAATATTTAACTTTTACAAACTGAAAACAAGAATAGGGGAGTAGATAATTTATTTTTCAATTTCAATTATCAATTCTTCGGATATATTAGCATATGACCATGTTATATGATATGAAAAGCACATTGTGCTGTCAACCAATAATTTAAATACAAACATGTAGTGAACATATTGTATGTTTACAACAGAAAACTGAAAAATTTTACTGAAAACTTTTTTTCTATTTTTCTTGAACAGAATTGTTTATATATAGCTATGTAGCTATACATTTAGCAGTTTAATCTTGAAAATTTATCATGAATAAAGTAAATATAACAATTACTATGTCATTCAGCTTGATATGGATTTTGCTATTTTGAGTTGGTAGTTCTTGGCAATTGGTCAACTATAACTCGACTAAATTCATCTCTTATTCGATAGAGTTAACAGAATGAATGAAATCCACATCTCAGGCACGTAGCATCGTTTTAAAAAGTGTGTGGGGGTGACCAGAAAAAAAGACAACTTTCTGGAAAAATCTGACAAACAATAAATAAATAAATGGAAACATTTGGATACAAGGAGGATTTTACCACAGTGCAATAAAAGGGGGGTGAAAAAAAACTTTTCATGACTAAATTAATAGAAAAACATTATGTACGGAAAAAAGTGGAGGTGGCAGTCCCCACCCACCCCGACATAACGTTCATGTATAATATCTGATTTTTGTTATCAATATGAAATCTACATTCTTTATAATAAAGGTTAATTATAATATTTCGGTCACATAAAAGACATGCAATATGCCAAGTTGTAAATTTGAACATGTTTCAGTTTGAAGGCCTAATTTAAATAAATAAATAAATAAACACATCCATCATGTGGTAGAAAATGAGATAAAAAAATTTCCTTTGGAAGCATTGAATTTACCCGCTCAATATCTGTTAAAACGTTTATTTTGGCAGGTGATGAAATGAATCACATCGAGCTATTGGAACAAGGAGAGCCATCACACGTAAAACCGATATTTGAAAATCTGGCAGAGGGGACATTAATGTTCTCCCCCAAAGTCAGACTGGAGATTACCGAATCGGAGGTTTGTTTATGAAGCCTTAGAGCATTCCCCCTACATCAAGGTCAGAGTTATGATGAGGTAGTAATGAGGTGGTGCTATTGATTGGAATGCTGTAAGCTTCCCATTCACTGTTGTACACAAGTTCCTTGTCCTTTAGATATATTTACATGTACATTCAACCATGTGCACTTTGGCACATGAAAATACGAGAGTCAATACAAATCAGGAGAATTCAAAAGCATCTAAATTAATCGTTCTAATGTAATGGCAGATTTACTATGTACATACTATTAATGAATATTTTAGGATTCTTTCTGCAAAAAGTTTGAAGTATATTCCAAGGCCATAGACGCTTTAAACGACGTCATACTGGAAAGAGGTGACTTAGTGGATGTTTTGGACAGAACCAAGGGCTCTCATTGGCTTGTCAGGAAAGATCACGCAAAAGGCGAGGTAAAAATATCAGATTACATGTCAAATGATGACAAAGTTGTTGGACAAGGAGAGGACAGGGTTCTTTTGTGAAATATATGACCTGAAAATATTATCCATCGATCTGCTATATTTGAGAAATGTAGGCATCATGCCATGGCATGTTCTTTATATATTTTATTCAATATACGACGGGGACTTCCGTCGTTGGAAAAAAATCAAATCCAGATGAAGGTTCAATTATTTTACTTAATGACAAAGAACGAAGAAAAAGAATGGTGACCTTTAATAAAAATGAAACACTCATACAAATTCACTCGCACTACATTTATTTTATTCGCAATTAGTTAAAATCAATATTAAATTGTATCTTACCATATTTTGCCCAAGATTCCGTAAGTAATAACTTAGGAACAGACGATACGTTCTCCAATAATATATAATTTTTTCCAAGATTTTGTCATTGAAGTATTGCTACTTGTTTATTCACAAAAAATTGGGGTACTTTACAAGGCATTTGTGTAAGATACTAGAGGGTAGTTTTTCTTATATAATCCTTTTGGAAAAAAAAAATTAATTTACCAATATCAAATTTTTTAGTGTTTGGACTTTTTAAAGACGTTTAGAAACTGGTTTAGAAATCAGAAGGTAATTAAATTTTGAATATTTTTCATACATTACGAAGATATACAAAACAGATATTTGAGGAACGTATCGTTTGACCTTAAAGCTTAATTGCAGATTGGATTTCTCGCAGGAGAAAATCAACCCATCATAATTATCTGACTTATTGTCGAAGTTAAAAGATATATTCGCGCTCAAGCATTTATACCAACATTCACACATATGAGTACATATAGCAACCACACCACACACTTACTGCTTATCACAGGAATCCACAATAATCACAAGACAATCAGGTGACATCTAAACACAGCAATCACGTGACACGGAAAGCCCTAGTAGCCTACAAACCAGAATACAATACAAACACGATGAGAAGGATAACGTATGAATGATTGATTGTATTTTGTTTTACGTCCCTCTCGAGAATTTTTCATTCATATGGAGACGCCACCACTTGCCGGTGGAGAGCTGCAAATTTTGTCCTATACTCGGCACTTACGGCCATTGAGCAGTGAGGGATCTTTTTCGTGCCAGCACCTACTGCGACACGGGACCTCGGTTTATACGGTCTCATCCGAAGGACCGGTCTCCACGTCCCACAGTGGGATTCGAACCCGCGACGTAAGGATCAACTCCTTACTTCGCGACTCTAGAGCAGACGCTCTAACCACTGCGCCACGCGGGCGACATAACGTATGAATGAATGATGTGTGAATGAATTAAATTCTTACTCCAGCTATCAACATTACACCAGCTGTACTAATTAATTAATAAATAAATAAGGAATAAGATGAAAACAAGTGATTGTCACCATGCGTCAAATGTAATATTGATAACTTTGGATTCCCAATGTGGCGATCAGGCAGGTTGGTTTCTTGTTGGCCAGTTAAATCTTAGGGCACCTGTTTTAACTACAGTTGCATACATATGTAACACCTGTGTAGCTTTATCTGCAGTTGGTAGAGCACCTGTTTAGAGTTTACTGCAGTTGGTAGAGCACCTGTGGAGCGTTAACGACATTTGGTATGGAGCACCAAAGTTAACTGCTGTTGGTAGAGCACCTGTTTAGAGTTAAAGGGGCCTAGACACAGTTGCATTGTTTACAATTTTAAATGTCTATTTTTATTCAAAAATAACTTCAGATTTGAACTTACATGAATATTCTAAGAATTCAATAACAACGATATTCTTCATAACATCACGTCAAACACCTGTGACTGTAAAAAAGGCACGAGCTCTGTTATTATTAGTGTTTACGTTTTACCGGGTGTATTCAATTTGTTTAGTCTGCACATATCACTGAGCACGGGCTGATAATACTGTTGAGTTGGTTTTGCTTTCTCGCTTTTCTACTTTGAACTTTCTGGATTTTAGTTTTCAAATTTTTCATTAAAACACAACAAAATTTCTATTTTTCTTAGGTATTATGGATAAAGTTTACTTTGTGAAAGTGTAAGGATATGTGTCAATCAAATGCGTCCCTAAATTCGTAGTTTTAATAATTTCCAGATAAAAGAATTTTCTAAACACGCTTTTGGTAAACTTCGGTGTAAAATGCTCTAGCAACATACAAGTCATGATATTACTTAGCAAAGCTTAGAAAATCTGAGCTTCAATTCTTTGTCCCAGTCCCTTTAAGGATATCCGATCCTCAGCCAGGAATGATAACTCTTAAATTTTATTATTTTATTTATAAAGCTTCAAAATGAAGCTTGAAATTGAGATCTTTTCATGTAACAATTTTCATTTTATGCATCTCAATATGATTCAAGGTTCTCTGAAGTCTTAGAAACGGTCTTTGAAAAAAGTTGACATTTATACCCCATAAAAGAAAATGACATTTATACCTCATAAAAGAAAATAATAAATTAATTTTAAGAGAAATCGAATTTCCTTTAATTTAGCATTAGATACCGATGCTTATTAGCATGATTTGAAATTAGACGTGATCTGTGATGTCTAGCAATGATAACACAAGCATTTTACACATGTATTATATAGCAACTGACCTAATTAGAAGAACTCAAATACTGTATAAACGTAAAAAAGGTGAAATTTTCTCCAAATGCCTGGATACCTATATTTTTTTTTTTACGAACAATTATGTTTCGTCCCTGACCTTGACAATCCGACATAGTTCCTTCTTTTTCTTTCGTCACAACTATCACTAAACTTCGGGTTAGAGCAAAAATTTTACAACTGTAATTTCTCCAGATTATTTTGATGATGCTGGGATTGAGATGTTGGTGCTCCTGAACTATAAACTACAGTTAAGGTAGTCCGATTCTCAGGTTCTGAAAATCAGCTTTTAAGTAATTGAAAATGCTCACCAAAATGTCTCTGATTTCTTAGGGTAACGTGAATTTACCCATGGTATTTCTTCAAAGTTCATCATTAAAGTTAAGCATATTATATTGGGAAAAATTATTAAATCTCAAATATATTTTCAGGAAATACGAATAAAACCACCAGCTACGCATTTTCTAATTGAAAATTGATCAACAAATATATTTTAGGACAAAATCGGGGGGGGGGGGGATAATTGAGAAGCAAAAAAGTGCATGAAATAAAAAAAGGAGAAAAAAAATCACATACAAACAAACAAACATACAAAAACGAAACATAACAAAGAATAAAAAACATGAACAACAAAAATACAACACCCCCCCCCCTAAAAAATTTCCTAAATTTCTTGGGAGGGGGGGGGTAACGAAACGAAAAACAACAAGATGGGGCCAATGGGTCTTAAATAATCAAAACGCTAGTTCCATAGCAACGTTTTTCAAAGGGGGGAGAGAAGGAGGAAACGTAAACTGCCTAAACTCGAAAATTCTATTTTTGGGGTTGGGTGGGGAGTTGGACCTTTCCCTAGCTTTTCGGTAATTTTTTTTTATTCAAATGATGGACTTCGCCAGTGGTCGACCGTGCAGCAACAAAAAAAAAAGGTGGGGGGGGGGGGGTAAGCAGCTTTCAAATGAAAATTAACATATAGTAAAACTACAGCAAAAAGCTATTCTCGGATAATAGGGCCCCCCCCCCCCCTTCCCGTGCATCATGGGTCTGTCTCGGAAAAAATGGGGGGAAAAGACTCCACCTGCACCCTTTAAACTATTTATTCGGCGATCAAATACGTAATTAAGGCAGGAACAAACAGTTTTTATAAACAATTTTTTTTCTCTGCATCCATTTTTTTTTTAAAGCAACCATTGTGACAAATATTCTGTTTTGACCATTTTTTTTTTTTAACCAAGAATCGTTCTAGGTTCTTTGGTAATTTAAATATCATTATGATGTACTTTGCAACAATTTATAACCGTGGGCTACAATGGTTTACATTAGGTAATTCTATAAGATACTAATGGTGAAACTTGGAATTTTGGGGCGCGGCGTTAACATGTCGATTATTGAAAAAAACAAATCAGGAGTCCCGAATGATGCATAGTAACTTTTATTTAAATAATTTTAACCAAAAGTGAGAATTAACATAAAGATGCATTTAATCAAAAGTATGTATGAGGGGAAAAACCACTGGAATTTTTTTCTCCGTAACTGCTCAGTTATGTTTTTATTTAGCTGCAGGTCTGTAGCTCGCTGGTCTGAAAAAATTGGGATGGTCGTCCATCCCAGCGAGCTACAGATTTTTATTGTGTAAATGGATCGGGTTCAGTATTCTCGTTTCCTGATGCAGAAGATGGAAGATGGCGGGTAAACAAAATTGAAAGTTTTGATTAAGTTTCCGTTTAATCAAATCGTCAGTGATTTATTTTTAGCTCACCTCGACGAAGTCGAGATGAGCTTATGCTATACCCCCGGCGTCGGCGTCGGCGTCGGTGTCGGCGTCGGCGTTAGCGTCGGCGTCCCAGGTTAAAGTTTTAGGAGCAAGTCCCATTCCCAAGTAACTATAAGCCCTACCTGGACCAAACTTGCATGGATGATGCATCTAGGGATGGACACTACCAAACTTGCTTCGGATGCTGGATCTGACCTAGATTTTCCAGATGAGTGACCAGGTTAAAGTTTTAGGAGCAGGTCCATTCCTAAGTAACTATAAGCCCTACCTGGATTAAAATTGCATGGATGATGCATCTAGGGATGGACACTACCACACTTGCTTCGGATGCTGGATCTGACCTAGATTTTCCAGATGAGTGACCAGGTTAAAGTTTTAGGAGCAGGTCCATTCCCAAGTAACTATAAGCCCTACCTGGACCAAACTTGCATGGATGATGCATCTAGGGATGGACACTACCACACATGCTTCGGATGCTGGATCTGACCTAGATTTTCCAGATGAGTGACCAGGTTAAAGTTTTAGGAGCAGGTCCATTCCCAAGTAACTATAAGCCCTACCTGGACCAAACTTGCATGGATGATGCATATAGGGATGGACACTACTACACTTGCTTGGATGCTGGATCTGACCTAGATTTTCCAGATGAGTGACCAGGTTAAAGTTTTAGGAGCAGGTCCATTCCCAAGTAACTATAAGCCCTACCTGGACCAAACTTGCATGGATGATGCATCTAGGGATGGACACTACCAAACTTGCTTCGGATGCTGGATCAGACCTAGATTTTCCAGATGAGTGACCAAGTTAAAGTTTTAGGAGCAGGTCCATTCCTAAGTAACTATAAGCCCTACCTGGATTAAAATTGCATGGATGATGCATCTAGGGATGGACACTACCACACTTGCTTCGGTTGCTGGATCTGACCTAGATGTTCCGGATGAGTGACCAGGTTAAAGTTTTAGGAGCAGGTCCATTCCCAAGTAACTATAAGCCCTACCTGGACCAAACTTGCATGGATGATGCATCTAGGGATGGACACTACCACACATGCTTCGGATGCTGGATCTGACCTAGATTTTCCAGATGAGTGACCAGGTTAAAGTTTTAGGAGCAGGTCCATTCCCAAGTAACTATAAGCCCTACCTGGATTAAAATTGCATGGATGATGCATCTAGGGATGGACACTACTACACTTGCTTGGATGCTGGATCTGACCTAGATTTTCCAGATGAATGACCAGGTTAAAGTTTTAGGAGCAGGTCCATTCCCAAGTAACTATAAGCCCTACCTGGACCAAACTTGCATGGATGATGCATCTAGGGATGGACACGACCAAACTTGCTTCGGATGCTGGATCAGACCTAGATTTTCCAGATGAGTGACCAAATTAAAGTTTTAGGAGCAGGTCCATTCCTAAGTAACTATAAGCCCTAACTTGATCAAACTTGCATGGATGATGCATCTAGGGATGGACACTACCACACTTGCTTCGAATGCTGGATCTGACCTACATTTTCCACATGTGAGACCAGGTATAGATTTAGGAGTAGTCCCATTCCCAAGTAACTATAAGCCCTACCTCGACCAAACTTTCATGGATGATGCATCTAGGGATGTACACTAACCAACCTGCTTCGAATGCTGGATCTGACCTAGATTTTCCACATGAGTGAATTTTAGCCATATTTTAACCAAATTAGCATGGATGTTGTATCTAGGGATGGACACTTCCAGACTTGCTTGGATTCTGAATCTGACGTACATTTTCCAGATGAGTGACCAGGGTAATTTTTTTTGAGTAGCTATATAATATTATGGCCTTTTATGATTAAACTTGCATAGATGGTGCATCTAAGGATGAAAACTTCCAGACTTGCTTTGGATGTTGGAACTGACCAAAATTTTCTTGATTACTAAACAGGTCAAAAGTTTTTTGAGCAGGTCTATAATTAAATCAAACTTGCATGGATATTGATCTTGGGATGTACCCTAACTAGATAAAAAATATGATGTGAAATTTGCTTTACATGTAGATAACATTCGTCGAGGTGAGCTTCGTAATCTTTGATTACCTATGTTTTAAAGTATTGCATAACAATAATGAATAATTGATGTAAGATCACAGGTAGTGGAGAGAAAAAGGTAGGTAAACACCCTTTCCCGAAACACTTGACCTAATCTCAGCGAGATCCGTAGAGACTAAAAATTTTGGTCTGGTGTCTCTACGGATCTCAGACCAGTGTCACATAATCTCATTCGGGGTTTTGTGCCCGGACTTCGACCGCTTGTTTCGATTAATACAGGCTGAAATGAATTAGCTGTCCGCTTCACCTTTTTGCTTTGGACATCCTTTTAATTCCCTATCACCATAAAACTTTCGTTTCTGACCTCTGAAAGGTTTAAATCCATCAAAATATAAAGTTGTTGATTTTTCATAACAATAAACTATTCGTTTAAACCTCCGATGCTGAAGAGTTCCAGCAATACTCTGCCTCAAATACTTCGTAATATGGTTCATTTCTATAGGAAATAGTAGTAGAATGAAGTATCCAAAGCAAAAAGTTGAAGCGGACAGCTAATTCATTTCAGCCTGTATTAATCGAAACAAGCGGTCGAAGTCCAGGCATGAAACCCCGAATGAGATCATGTGACACTGGTCTGAGATCCGTAGAGACACCAGACCAAAATTTTTAGTCTCTATGGATCTCGCTGAGATTACACTTGACCGCGACAATATCAATTCTTCGATAGGCTAGTTGTCACGTTCACAAATACTTGGGTCTTGGACTCTTGGTTTTATTAATATGTATGTATACCTATTGATATGTAAAAGAGTACTTTTTTTTTTTTTTTTTTTTTTTTACATATTAATAGTTATATCCTTAATTCTCATTATATCTTGGGTTCCATTGTATCGCGGTATTTCCCAAAATTTAGGATACATACCTCATATCATTTTTTTTTGATGGACTAGGCCAAAAAAAAAAAAAATCTTGTTTCCTGCTACCAGCCTGAAAAAAATAGGGTAGGTAGGTAGGAAAATTATTTTATTTTATATTTTTATTTTATTTTTTCCGACAGCATTTTTTGGATATGAACTAATACAAGATAAAATTAAACATGTCACAGGTCAACATTGTCTTTTAAAATTGAATTTCATGTCTTTTATGCACAACTCAAGTGGTATTTTATGAAAGTCCATATTTAAAACAAGAATTTCATGAAATGCTTGTTTTGTGTTAACACGGAAACCGATTACAGTGACAGAACGATGAAATTCCAGAAATTCCCGATTTTTTTTCTTCCAAAACTTGAAAAAAAACTTTAGGGTCGGGTGCAAAAAAATAGGGTAGGTCGGGTAGCAGGAAACAAGACTATTATTTTTTTTGGCCCTATGTCTGTCTATATGTCTGTCGTCTGAATGTTGACTTTTGTGATGATTAAGAAGTATGGAACACCCGTTGGAAAAATATTTATTCAAATAAAACGAAATTTTACAGATTTCCATTCCCGTTTTTATTTTATTTAGACCATTGAATATATAACCAAGTAAAATCCATAATAAAGTTCATATTTTGAAAACCTTAAGTTTGTATTATACTTAAGTTTTCATGTAGATTTACATCATAAATTAAAAAAATAAATATTGTACTTTGTGACTGTGCCAAACCTCCATGTTTTCAATACTGCGATACAATGAGACTCTCCACTTTTGGAGGTAAACAAGACTTCCTGTTATAAAAATAGAATACAAAGTAAACGAAGAAAGCTTAGAAAATAATTAGCCACTAAAAAGTTAGGCCATTAATAGGTTTATGAATAGTATTTGGTGAAAAGTTAATGTAAGAATTTGGAATAACTTTTTTATGCAAAAGAAATAAGTACCGCGATATTATGAGACACCAGTATACATACATATACTGATATACATGTATATTAGTTTATAAACCAAGACAAAAGTACCTGTAGTTGTGTTGGTGAGAAGTACGTCTGTTCGATAAGTTCAAACAATCTGGATTGCTGAGAAGTACGTCTGTTCGATAAGTTCAAACAATCTGGATTGCCTAATATGTTAAATTCTGAAATCATACTGTAACACAGCTGCTGTCCCCCCCCCCCCCCCCCCCCCAAGCCTTGGCCAAAGCATTGAAGTGTATCATACTATATGCATTTTTTTTTCAATCTTGCAAACACTAACTGTTTAACACATAATATTCATGTTTATATATTTTAAAATGTATGAAAAAGCAACCACACGGTAGAAAAACAAACCAAATATTATTGTTTGGAAGTAAAACTCCTCCGTTATAAAAGCTTATGAAGTTAGACATATAAGATATCTGGCAAACAGCTCAATTTGCCTGACTGCCACATCGATGAATATTATTCCCCCTATTTAAATGACGACATTGACCCAGTTCATCCCTGGTCATGGAACATGTGTTAGAAAGGAGAAAATGTAACAGACCAGTCCTGAACCCCAAAACTCTAGACAGGTGCCCTAGCAACTGAGCTTTAGCCACTGGCAAACAAACCTGCCTGACTGCCACAGTTATTTAAAGGGTTATTTGTAGCTGTATTCCTCATATCCGTTAGTGCACAATCATGTGGACTGCATTTAAGAGGCTCAGACTTTTTTGTATGTCTATAGATTGATTATTCCAGTGCAGTTATTGTTATGCCAAGCCAGATACTAAGTGAATTAGGAGTTCTGTGTATATATATATATGCTTTATTGTGAATTAAAATTTTCAACAATGCCATAGAAATTGAATTAGTATGAATACTATGTTTTATGAAAAGTTATCACCATGTATTCTGATTATAATGACAGGTGTGCTATGTTAGCCCAGAGAATTTAAAACCATGTTCAGAAGTAAAGAGAGCAGATAGTAAAGAATTAGACAGCAATGTCTGCATTGAAAAAGTGGAAGAAAAGAAAAGGTTTGGTTTTTAATATGTTAGTAATAGAATAAGTAAATGTTCAGGATCATTGAAAGAAAATATTTTAATGAAATACCGGTAATTTTAATTTTAAGTTAATTGATATTCATCTTTTATTTGTTTGCAATGGAAGGTTTAAAGCTATAGTGTCAACTTTACCTTATGCTAAGTAATGTTTGTTTAATGTTCCTGTTTAAAACTTTATTGCATTATAAAAAGACTTTAATTTTTACATGAGCTGTTTAGCAGCTTGAGTTTATAAGTGATGGTGATTTTCTAGGAAGCTGGTACAGGACTTGCTGGACAGTGAGACAGACTATGTGTGTGACCTGAGGGACCTGATAGAAAACTACTTTGATGTCGCAGAAGAGGAATTCCCTGACAAAAACAAAGGAAGAGACATCTTTAGGAATGTTGAAGCACTTTATCAGTTCCATCATAAGTAAGTCTATCAGCTCTATCATCAGTAAGTCTATCAGTTCCATCATAAGTAAGTCTGTCAGTTCCATCATAAGTAAGTCTATCAGTTCCATCATCAGTAAGTCTATCAGCTCTATCATAAGTAAGTCTATCAGTTCCATCATAAGTAGGTCTATCAGTTCCATCATCAGTAAGTCTATCAGCTCTACCATAAGTAAGTCTATCAGTTCCATCATAAGTAAGTCTGTCAGTTCCATCATCAGTAAGTCTATCAGTTCCATCATAAGTAAGTCTATCAGCTCCATCATAAGTAAGTCTATCAGTTCCATCATAAGTAGGTCTATCAATTCTATCATAAGTAAGTCTCTTGTATTAAATCATATCAGATATGTTTTTCATAAATTGATATGATATAATAAAACAAATGTTGACTTTTAAATTAGTACATGTACATTCCCTAAATTACTCTATCAGAATAAAGGAAACATAGTTACATTAAACAGCTTAATTTATTTTGATCTCTGTAGTGACTATAGTCTCTATGTGTTAAAAAAAAAGACAAGAGCGAAAACTTGTGGCTTGTTCCCATTATTTTCCAATTTTGTTTTGTCAATATCTGTAAAAATGAATATAACCAATGTAGCAATTTCATGAGGTTGATCCATAGATATATTGATTTCACAGTAAAGCATATTGACCTCGCACTTCGTGTGAATTCTGTGAAGTCAATATATCTATAGATTGACCTCACGAAAGGGCTATATTTGTATATATCTAGGGATCTGTCTTATCAAAGGACTATATTATTATAATTTTTTTTTTAATGAAAATAACATACACTTAAATGTTTCATTATATTCTTGTGTTTTTTTTCTACAGAAAATTGCTGCCAGAATTAATTGCTGCTAAAAATGAACCTGAGAAAGTGGCAGATGTATTCCTTAAAAAGGTTCTCTTATTTGTATAAATACGAGGGGCATTTCAAAAGTTCTGACAACTGGTATATAAAATTTTAACTACGTTACGGATTAAAATGACTCTGATACCACTGTAAAACTTAGGCAAATATGCATTAGTAGTGACGTCATTTTACATTCAAAATGACGTATAGGTCTGCTAAAATTAGGTATACTCTGTATACTGGGCATAAAAATGACTGATAAGGAGAACAATTTTTTTGTTGAGCAAAGAGCATATTGCAAATTCGCTCATTGCTTGGCTTTACGGCAACAGAAATAAAAGCCGATTTAGATGTAGTATATAGAGAGCATGCTCTTTCATATCGAGCAATAGCAAGATGGGTAGTTCAATTTAAAGAGGGTAGAAAATCAATTGAAGATGACCCCCGTTCGGGGCGTCCAGTTTGTGCATATGGCAAAAAAGAAATCGTCGCTGTTCAAAATACGATAGCTGATGATGCTAGATATACAGTTGAGGAAATAACAGACTTAACTAACATTGATTCGTCAGCAGTTTTTTGTATTTTAAAGGAAAACTTAAAGCTTAGGAAAGTCTGTGCTAGATGGGTGCCACATCTTCTCTCGGAAGAGCAAAAGCGCATCCGGGTAGAAATGGCTTCACAGTTACTAACAATTTATGAAGATTGTGACCAAAGGTGAATAAATGAGATTGTAATTAGTGATGAAACATGGATATATTTTTTTGAACCGGAAACTAAGCTCAATAATAAAGTTTGGATCGGTGAAAATGATGCAAGGCCTCAAATTTCGCACAGAAACTGGTCTGTCCGGAGAGTAATGTACGCCTTATTTTTTGATTCTAAAGGCCCTGTTGCTCAAGTTCCGGTTCCAGAACACAGCAGTGTTACTGGTCAATTTTATGCAGAGAATGTCTTGTCTCAGGTTGTAGAGCACTATGAAACGACCCGACCAACAACCAGTACTAGAGGAATAAAGCTCCTCCATGGCAACGCACCTGCCCATAGATCAGAGGTAGTAACCAAATATTTAAAGGAAAATGGTATTGCCGTTTTACTACATCCACCCTACAGTCCTGACCTAGCTCCATGCGATTTTTGGTTGAATGCCGTTATCAAAGAAGCCCTCCGAGGACGGCAATTTGAAAGTCGTCATGCAGTCGGAAGTGCCGTATTCCAGTGTATGAAGCGTATACCGAAAGAGGACTATAGGGCAGCATTTTCCACGTGGATTTCAAGACTGAAAAAGTGTGTCCAGGTCAATGGAGACTATTTTGAGGGATTGATGTAATTTAATTTATGATAATGACTATCATTAATTTATTAATTTACCGCACACCAGTTGCCAGAACTTTTGAAATGCCCCTCGTATCTGACAAAAAAAAAAATCAAAACAAGATAGGAACTACATGTATGTAATGTTCTATTTCAAATATTGAAAGCTTAATACACATTAATGTACTTATGAAATATGATATTGACTTTTTATTCTGTCAACAGAGGGAAAGCTTTTCTGAGTATCTTCCCTACCTTGCTGGTAAAAATAAAGCTGGTGAAAGTTTGGAGTCCAAGGAACTGAAAAAATTCCTACAGGTCTGTATCCTGTTCATTATTTAAATTGTAAAATTCATCATCTCTCCCAGTATATTTGAAGCCAAATGTTTGTGTTGTTATGCAGTACTATAGTAAGAGTATTGGGGGTGACATTTGTGTTGTTATGTTGAACTATAGTAAGAGTATTTGTTGTAATGTAGGACTATAGTAAGAGTATTGGTGCTGACATTTGTATTGTTATGTAGGACTATAGTAAGAGTATTGGAGATGACAGTGACACTCTCCAGGAACTACTGGACAGACCGGTGGAAAGAATCCACGAATACATGGATCTCTTAAAGGTACCTTCAACAAATTCTCTCAATAATTCTATATTTTTTTTTAATGATGAGATAGCATGTGTATAAATTACTTATTTTTGAAGCTTCAGTTACCTGAATAAATGATTTGTACTTTTGGCATAAGTTTGTTTTGAATGTCTTGGTACAATGTTTTTAAATATCTGTTTCAGAACTTGATCAAATTTACCAAGGCTGGGGGTGGGGACTGTAGTGAGCTGATGAAGGCGGTCAGTATGTTGAGTGACATCTGTCGGGAGGTGGAGAATATAATGCTGCTAGACAACATGGAGGGCTGGGAAAACCCAGAGCCAGCTCACTCTGTTATATCACATGTATGTCACACATCTAGTAATTAGTGATATACACATAGGTCAAAACATGAAGACTGGAAAAATCCTCAACATGTACACTAGGTCATCTTACACTTAACATATATGTAACCTGTAAAATTAGTCAAAACATGGATGCATGGCTGGGAGAAGAACCAGAAGCCTGCTCACTCAGTCATCTTACATGTAGAGTGTATGTCACATGGCAGTCTGTAAAATACATGTAGGTTACAGTATAGTGACATGCAGGCTGGATAAATCCCAACAGCAATCTTCTGATTTGTATGTTGCTTAGAGTTACTGTAGTAGGCTATAACATGAAGGACTGGTAAAGCCCTGAACCTGCACACTCAGACATCACATATATGTCACAGTTGTTACTGTGTCATAAACACTGTATATCATGAGTTGCAATGAGTTCAAATGATGACAAACAATGGTGTTCAGTGACTCAATACTGGCAGTGATGGAATGAAAATTGAAATATTTGAATTTTTCAGGGTATGTTTTGATAAATATTGAAAATTTTGAAGTCTCCCTCCTCATTCAATTGCTGTAAAAGGGGTCATATTAAATTCCAGAACATTTAAACACAATTTGTGCATTAAATAAAATATTACCATTGAATGACTACTGACTTTGATGTATTAGGAGACAGCTACAGTGTGGAGTGGTGTGGCAGAAGTTGGAGAGGAATGTCATATCTTCCTGTTCCCAGAAAAGATGGTCATAGCTCGCAGTGCTGAGGGGAAGGAAACCGCACCAGGGGGTGTGGTCCGTCTCAAATTTGATCAAGAGATCCAGGTAAGTGATGTGTCATGTGTAATAGTTTAAATTACAAATACCGTATTTGGCTGAATATAATACGCACTTTTTTCCCAAAATAATTTTCTGTGAGAAAGGGGTGCGTATTTTACACCACAATGGGATTTTGATAGGTTTTTCTTTCATGTGAAACACGGCTATCATACGCACATACCGTAGTATTACCTAGAGACTTATGCAATTTCTTGCTGTTTATCGCCATATTTAAAACTTAGGAAAGTTATTGTTGGAATATTTATAACCTTTTGATAATTAAATTAAATTTAAAAGCAAGTTAAAATTAATTTGAGCTGCATGTTCATCGTCTCCGTGTAGGCCGCCATTAACGATGTTATTTATAGATGTTGACACATTCCTTTGCCACGTGCTTCCGTAATCATAATCAGTCGGGCACTTCGTCAAAAAAGTAATAAGTCATTTTTTTTAAAATAAAATTTATTTAAGGTTTTAAATAACTCAGAGAAAATTCATTTCAACATAAACATCCCACTATACGTCCCAATGAATGGAAGCCAATGTTGTGAACACGTGCGCTTGTCACTTGATAATTACCCCTCAACACCCCTCCAGGCAATTAAATTGTTTACCGACTCCAAAGCATTGTTTTTACAGTTAGAGCACTGATCATTTACTGCCCTAATTAATGGCTGTGATTATTTTCTTTGTTAAAAATCGGGGGTTGGTTTATGATCTTTCGTATGTATAAGCGTGTGTTGATTACGACACTTTAAACAGTTAAACGCTTGTTAAATGTAATTTTATACTTTATCTTATATCGGCCTCGTGTTAAAATGATTGAGAGTTAAAAAAGGAAATATGAAGTATGTTGAAACTTAAGTGTTATCATTTACTCGTGCTCTGTAGAAAATAAAATATCCACGAAGATTACCTCGATGTATGAAGACATATATCCCATCTTTGTACATCATTTTTCACAGCTTTGGAGGTGTGTTGATAACTACACTTTACACGCTTGTTAAATTTTGATTTTATTTTGATAACATCAGCTATTTATTTAATTAATTAATTTCAAGTTCAAAAGAGGAAAATCGTAGTCTATGAATACTTTGATTTGCAATATCGCTTGCCCTGTTAATTTTACATGATTACCTTAAACTAAAAATAAATATGACAACTGTTAAACTTGCAACAATACCTCGTGCTTTGTTGAAATAAAATTATTTCCACAAAGAATAGTTAGGATACGGCAACATATAATTTCAATATCACCGTATGCTAAAAAAATTAATAATAAACTCTGTTAATACTTTAATGCAACATTATCTCGTGCTCTGTTAAAATAAATAATTTCCTCCAGACTGCCGCGATATGGAAAGTCAAGATTAAGAAATAAAAACGCATTTGAATAAAATATCGTGTTCTGTAAATTTTCGGCACTTTATCTCCGCGCTGATTTTCACAGAAAATTACCGCAATTTTCAAAAGTTCAGAACACCGCTTGGTAAATTTTTCTGCTGCGTATATTACAACCGAACTGCGTTTTTTCCCCCAGTTTCAGGCTCAAAAAGGGGGGTGCGTATTTTACACCAATGCGTATTATATTCGGCCAAATACGGTACATAGAAAATGCAAGTCATGTACAGTAAAACTCGTTTAGTATGAAAACGGATATACATGTAGCGAATTTATGGATATAGCGAAGTTTTTTGCAATCCCTGGCAAAATTGTTAACAATTCCTTGGAAATTTTTACAGATAAAACAAACTCAGATATAGCGAATTTACGGATATAGCAAACTGATTTTGTGTCCCCTAGATGTTAAAAAAAAAAAAATTTACATCTTTTATAGCGAATTTTCAAAGATCTCAATTTTTAAACTATAGAACTGACACTTTTTTGTAAGTATTTTAAATTTGAAGTTTAATTCATCCAAAAATTTTTGAACTGCAAGGTAGCTATTGTATTAAATACATAAATATATTTGGTAATCATTTTTGAAGGGAAAAATCTATATTTTGAATTCGATATATATACTTTTACAAATTCCTTTTACAGTTATAACGAATTACAGATATAGCAAAGTAATTTCACGGGTCCCCAAGACTTCGCTATAACCGAGTTTTATTGTATAAGTTAATGACTGAAGTATTTTAAGGTTGTTTTGGAAACAGCTAGTGGAGTAGGCTAAATTTTCATGTCAAGAGAGATAACTCTAAATTTTTGCTTGATTCTCATAAGAATTCAGATTATATACCATGCAATATATATTATATGTGGGCAGGGCTCTCAATAATTTTGAAGTGAAGAGGTTAATTTATCCATTTGAATAGGCTGTTTTAGAATTATTTCAATGATTTATTTAGCCAATTATGAAACAACAACAATATTTTTGATGGATCTATTTTAAAATATAGTTTGATTGCAAATAAGAGATTTTATAAAGCTCAAAATTTGCTGTCAATTGTTGCATAGTAGATGTATTATTTGTTAAAATATCGAATATCAAGAAGAGTCAGGTAGCCATTTTATTTATTTACCGGTATTTGTTTTTTAACTGCATGTTCATGAATGTGAAAAAACTTATTTGTTAGTAAATATATTTTTTAAATCTATGAATAAAATCATCAAGAAATATGTGTATGTCACTTACAGAAAAGACATATCTGACAATAATATATTTATAAAGAAAATTAGAATCTCAGAATAATGCTTATTTTCAATTTCGAACCAACCTGGATTGAAATAAAACCGATCGATCTTGATCGAAATGATTCGGACTCAAAAAAGAAATCACACTTCTGTTTATCTGTTGCAGTTGTCAATGAGAATATAAAGCAAAAAATTTTAAACATTTCACAGCAAAAAAACCCGTAGTTTTTGGATGGCATTGTTATATATTTATACGTTATATGATTTAGGTCAGGTTTAGTTTGATTTGGATAAATTGTTAAAAATTAGATCAATTTGACACCCCATATTTTCTTAAAAATACCTGTGCCCACCAAATTTATTGCCTGATTCAAGATCTTAGATTTTGTAGTTATTGTAATAATTTTGAGGATAAAATATTCAGATAAGTATTGAATTTTAGACAAATGATTAAATAATAAATCAATGTATGAAATTTAGTTATTAAACTATTAGTATTTGTCATACAAAAGGCCAGTGTAAGTTGATACTTACAACCAGTACATGAGGTTCACTTTATACATAATGTGGCCCTGTAATTTAGAATATTTCAATTTATTTAATGTGGAGTAAAATCATCACAATTAAAGCAATGTCAGTGTATAAATGGTTGGTCCATAACAATAATTTACAAGAGAGATATAGTCTTGAACTCTGTGAGGACATTTTCAGATCTGAAATAAAAGTGTATCTATTACCTATGGAATAGTACTGTGATAACTCATAACTAGTGATGTACATGCATGCCAGGGAAAAGTGCATTGATTTCAAACTTCATACCAATTTATTTACTGGAATGTTCATCACTTGTCATTCTCTGAGGACCCAAGATGCATCAACTAAGTTTGATGATTCTAAGCCAATTAATACCTAAAATATTTTCAAAATTATAACCATAAAATTTCAAAAGTAGGTCACAGTGACCTACTTTTCAGATGACATACTTTGAGGACCCAAGATGCATCAACTGACAAAGTTTGATGATTCAAAGCCAATTAGTACCTAAAAATATCTAAATAAAGCCATAAAATTTCAAAAATAGGTCACAGTCACCTCCTTTTCAGCCGACTAACTCTGCGGACCCAAGATGCATCAACTGACAAAGTTTGGTGATTCTGAGCCAATTAGTACCTAAAAATATTTAAATAAAGCAATAAAATTTCAAAAGTAGGTCACAGTGACCTACATGTACATTTCAGTCAACTTACTCCGAGGACCCAAGATGCATCAACTGACAAAGTTTGATGATTCTAAGCTAATTAGTACCCGAAATATTTCATTATAGCCATATAAATTGAAAAGTAGGTCACAGTGACCTACTTTTCAGTAGGTGTACTCCGAGGACCCAAGATGCATCAACTGACAAAGTTTGATGATTCTAAGCCAAATAGTACTTGAAAATATTAAATACAGCCATAAAATTTCAAAAGTAGGTCACGGTGACCTATATATCATTGCGTGTTTAATTTGTCCTTAAAATTTAATTTCTTGACACAAAGCCTTATTTCTTCGAAAGTTATGACCCCTTGCATGATAAACATTGTTATCGCTACTCCTCTAAAACAGTAAACCCTAGAGATGCAAACCTTCTCCAGGACTCTTAAATCTTTTCATTTTAATAGGATTCATCTACCCCTTTAAGTAGTTTTTACCACGAAATTTTTCAAATTTTACATTAAATCAATTTTTTGAATGATTATTTGTAGAGACAAGGGACTAACTGCAGTCTTTCTTCATCCTTTGACCTTTTTTTTATATCAAGGTCATTCAAAATATGAAAATTCAGTCATTTTATGTCTCTTTTGTATTTCAATATATATTACATATCATTGCATCATTAATATGTTCTTTAAAAACTGTTTTAAAATTTCCTTTTTTGACACCTATAAGCTTAATCTCCTTTAATATTCTTTCCCCTTCACCATAAAGCTTGTTACCACTACTCCTATGAAAAACACCAAACCTTTACCAGTGTCTTTTGTTACTGATTGATTGTATGTTGTTTTACGTCCCATTTCAAGAATTTTTCACTCATAGAGAGACATCACCATACACTGATGAAGGGCTTTAAATTTAGACCTTTACTAGGCACTCACGGCCATTGTACAGTGAGGGATTTTACCTACTGTGACCCAGGGCCTCAGGTTTTAAGGTCTCATCTGAAAGACCAACAACTTTCACATCAAAGTGATTTTATTGACTTAAGTCTGTCACAGCTGGGCTTGAACCCATCACTTTCTGATCAATGAGCAAACACTCTACTGACTGAGCTACCTTGATGGTCTTTGGTTACTGAAAGTAAAACCATAATCTTCTCAGTGCGAAAGGGTCTGACCATCTCGTATATGAGTAACTGCCCTTTTATGTCTTTGTGCTTAGCGTTAATATTTTTAAAGACTTTTAAACCACTATTCCTAGAAACATGGAATCAACTGCATTGTGATCCTTGACCTTTTGCTTTGAACTTTTGGCCAAGGTCAAGATAAAGGTCAATTAAAATATTTCAAAAAATAATTTTTTTTTTCAGTTTTTAAAAGACATTTTTTCAAAATTTTATATGTTACTGATGAAAAGACAAATATTTTAAAAAACACGTTAAAAACTTAAAAGAGGTGGAAAGACCTGTAATTGTTTGAGAACAAAAATTTATTTCTTTGAACAAATGGTCTCATTAGTTGCCAATAAGTTAGTAGATGTATTCACCTATAAATTTAGATTAGGATATATAAATAACATAAGTGGAATTCTTGAATGCTAGAAGATAAAAAGAATGTCATATGCCTTCTAAACAGCAGAACCTTGTTAAAGCTAACTGAAGTGTTATCAGGGTGTCTAAAAATAAACAGAGATGTAAAGTATCCACTCTAGTGAGTCAGAAACATTTGCTAGCTTCTGCCAAAATCCCTGGTAGCAATGTTGAGGAGGATAGCAGATTCCTGAGCGTGTGTTCACAGGTAGACAGTCTTATCACTGATGTAATCTTCTTCCAGCTTTCCTGCAAGTGGCTTATGCTAGCTGCTGCATCCCCCTGTAATCTCTATCTAGGCTTTTGGCTCATTGCTTATCCATTGGCAGTTACTGAACTCTACATTGGTTTTGGGGGTTTATTTGAGTAAATTTTCTTTTAGTTGCGGACTGTTGCTCTGTGCCAAGATGACTCTGGGAGGAATCTGGTGTTGTGGGATGTGTCATTAGAAGACAAGGAATCTCCTGCGTCATTTTTGACATTGGAAACAAGTTCTCCATTCTCAAAACAAACACTTGTGAGAGACATACAGGAGGCTCAGGAGAAGCTAGGTAAGGATCTTAATTAATGGCTGCTTTAATTGTAAACATTGAAATAGTGCTGGCCTGTCTTTATCTAAAACTTATAATAAAATATAAGTAACTAGTTGTAGCTAGACTGTTGGACAAGAGTCCAAAACAAAGCTGTGAACAGAAGCAATTATTTATTTTTTATGTATATCTGGTGTTTTACATTAAAAAATTCTGACATTTATAGTGCCAAAATAATTATAGTTACCTATGGGTAAATAAACTCTTCTGAGACCAGTAGTGATAATGTGTGGTGATATAAGGGTGATGGACAAGCAATAACTGCTGGTAGATATTAGTGAGTAGAATTCAGGTCAGTCAACCAGAGACAGATACTGAGCAGTGGTTGTTTGTATGATTTATCAGAAATATGATTATAGCTTTGTCTTGTAAATGAAAAATGTGAGGAAAGGGGGGATATTTCAATTTTTCCATGAAGCAATATAAATGCCATTTCTGAAAGATTATTCTAAAATTTTAATGATTTCAGTTTAATTAAGGGTTGCTAAATGATAATTCTCTCTGTTGAAGTCCTTCAAACTTGAATCAGGAAAAAAATGTATATAAAACTAAGGAATAATTAAACTATTAAAGAATTCCTCAATCATGTTTGTTTAAATTACCAGGTATTAAAAAAAGGTATAATAAAATAAGTTCACTATTTATCAGTATATGGTTTGTTAAGCAATTCGGTTACATAACAGTTATAGTAGCTTTATGTAATGTTTTTGATAAATGGCAATTAAGACATCTGATTTTAATAAAAACAGTTCATCAACCTCAGGACCTGATTATTATTGTTGGCCATGGATTGGTTTTACTTTGATTTGTTCTAATATCATTGTAACACAGTTAAAACTCATTAAAGTCTACATGTATTTTTTGGGATGGGATTTTTAATATGATATGGCTGGTTATTGCAGAATTTTGGGAGCTCTATCTTGTGGATGTTATACTTGGCAAAGAGCACTGTGTCTAGAACCTTATCTGTGGAAACATAAGGCTACAAGAACTTATCGATAACTCCCTGACAACTGATGGCTGGTGTATAATTCTCAGTAAGATGCCATCAAATAGATATGAAACTTCTACTTCTAAAATATATCCTCCTATCTCTACACCCACAGAAAAATAACTCACAGATAGGAAAGAAAGCCATCGAAAACAGATTTTGTACATTTCTCTCTTTACTCTTGCAAAACTTTTGGTGTATCTTAGTATTTTGAGGGATTTCTGTGTTGTTGTTTTTTTTTTTAAAATCTGATCGAGTTATTTAGATACCAAGAAAGTGATGCGCAGATTTCTGAAATGTTATAGTATCTCACAACTAATCAATCCGTGGCTTTCATTATGTCACATGACATTATCAGTGAGATATGGTTGATCTAATTTTGTGGAAGTCTGACTCCATTTACTTCTCAGAAATGCAGGTAACGATCAGAGGAAGTTACAGTAATTGAATGTAAGAATCTGTCTCCTCTCTGTACTGGAGACTTCACAGTAAATCATAGACAGTAGATCATACACAGAAAATTATATGCGTTCCTTAGCTAGTTAGCTGTCTGAGAGACTGACAAACCCAAAATAACTACATGTTGTTTTGTTTACCTCAAAATATACCTGGACACAAAGCATCTTATATATATATATCAGGTTTACCAGGACAATAATGGGAATATAGGCTGATTTTCTTATTATGTTACGGTGAAACAAACTGATAATCTATAATATAATGTTTCTGTTTTGAATGCTATCAGTTAAATGCTGGCCTAAAGTAATAAAAATGATTACTGACAAGTGGCAATGTAAATTTTAAGCTAATCTCTTATAAACTCTCATGAACTCTGAGTGATTATATGTTAAAATTATGTAATTGTTTTGGGAGTACCTTTAACATGCCTCCATAAGATAAAATTAAAACAGATTTGAAGGTTTAATGAGTGAGATGGTAGAAATCATACAGACAGAGAATGTACTGACGTCATACAGTTAAAACTGAGGAATTCTTAACATTCTGTTCAGGCTTAATCAGATCTGAATCAATGCCAATTGTTTATAAAATCAAAAGTTTATATCCAGACTTTTACATGCATCACCATGCAAAAAACATGTAAGGATATTTTGGCAAAATTTACTTATGGGTTTGATAAATTTTTCACCCCTAATAATATTTTGTCTTGATTGAGCTTTTCCAATGTTGTTAATGCCTTCTCTCAAACTGAAAATTTCATGTAAATGAAAACCAAATCATGTCAAAAACTATATACTATTTCAATGTTTTGTCTCTGTTCATTCTGTGACATTTGGCATGGTTCTCAGAAATGCTAACTGACCCATCTATTGTATTCTAGTTTAGAATTTGTACATACATGTGTATGTACAAAAATTCATAAAAGCTCAAGCAAGATGTTAGATTTTTTAATAAATTAAAAAAAAAAGATATAAAGATAATTAACAGATTTTGCTGAAAATAGATTTTGGAGAAATTGCATGTTGCAATTTGCTTTCTTAAATCCATTGTTGACTTTACCATGTGTTCAAGAAACACAATGAAGAAATAAAACTACATCCAAATGTAAAGGTGCTGCTTAATGTTTTAAGAATTACTTTAGTTTTTTAAGCAAAATTTCTCTAGGTGTGAATTAAAGTCACTGAGGACTTTGGTAAAAGTTTGTAATCTGTCTTGGATTTTGATTATTGACTCTTTAAAATGCTAGCATTTAAAATGATACAGATTTCACATTTAAAAATAGAATACTAGCATATGGTATATACCATAATTTCCAACAGTTTTATGTTTTCCAGGAGTTGACCCCCCACCCCCACCCCTTCCCCCCAAATTAATGTTCGGCTGTTTGAGTGTATTGTTTGAGATAACCTAGGCTAGGTAGACTGTGTATTGGTGAGATACAGCTTGGCTATGTAGACTGTGTATTGGTGAGATACAGCTAGGCTAGGTAGACTGTGTATTGGTGAGATACAGCTAGGCTAGGTAGACTGTGTATTGGTGAGATACAGCTAGGCTAGGTAGACTGTGTATTGGTGAGATACAGCTAGGCTAGGTAGACTGTGTATTGGTGAGATACAGCTGGGCTAGGTAGACTGTGTATTGGTGAGATACAGCTAGGCTAGGTAGACTGTGTATTGGTGAGATACAGGCAGGCTAGGTAGACTGTGTATTGGTGAGATACAGCTAGGCTAGGTAGACTGTGTATTAGTGAGATACATCTAGGCTAGGTAGACTGTGTATTGGTGAGATACAGTTAGGCTAGGTAGACTGTGTATTGGTGAGATACAGCTAGGCTAGGTAGACTGTGTATTGGTGAGATACAGCTAGGCTAGGTAGACTGTGTATTGGTAAGATACAGCTATACTAGGTAGACTGTGTATTGGTGAGATACAGCTATACTAGGTAGACTGTGTATTGGTGAGATACAGCTAGGCTAGGTAGACTGTGTATTGGTGAGATACAGCTAGGCTAGGTAGACTGTGTATTGGTGAGATACAGCTAGGCTAGGTAGACAGTGTATTGGTGAGATACAGCTAGGCTAGGTAGACTGTGTATTGGTGAGATACAGCTAGGCTAGGTAGATTGTGTATTGGTGAGATACAGCTAGGCTAGGTAGACTGTGTATTGGTGAGATAAGGCTAGGTAGACTGTTTTTTTGTGAGATAAGGCTAGGTAGACTGTGTATTGGTGAGATACAGCTAGGGTAGGTAGACTGTGTATTGTTGAGATACAGCTAGGCTAGGTAGACTGTGTATTGGTGAGATAAGGCTAGGTAGACTGTGTATTGGTGAGATAAGGCTAGGTAGACTGTGTATTGGTGAGATAAGGCTAGGTAGACTGTGTATTGGTGAGATACAGCTAGGCTAGGTAGACTGTGTATTGGTGAGATACAGCTAGGCTGGGTAGACTGTGTATTGGTGAGATACAGCTAGGCTAGGTAGACAGTGTATTGGTGAGATACAGCTAGGCTAGGTAGACTGTGTATTGATGAGATACAGCTAGGCTAGGTAGACTGTGTATTGGTGAAATACAGGCAGGCTAGGTAGACTGTATATTGGTGAGATACGGCTAGGCTAGGTAGACTGTGTATTTGTGAGATACAGCTAGGCTAGGTAGACTGTGTATTGGTGAGATACAGCTAGGCTAGGTAGACTGTGTATTTGTGAGATACAGCTATACTAGGTAGACTGTGTATTGGTGAGATACAGCTAGGGTAGGTTGACTCTGGGCTTGACATTAACGCTTGTCCGCTTGTCCGGTACCAGTGAAAAAAAATTATGGACAAGTGAATATTGCCAGGCACTTGTCTGATTGGACAAGTGCATTTTAAGGTAAAGAAGTCTTCAAGTAATAAAAAGAACGACTGACGGAAGCAGTACATAAAAAAATGAACTTCGATCCCGATATGGATCGCTATGTAATCGAGTTCACACTTGATCAGGATCGAAGTTCACTAATTGCATACTACTGCAGAGGCATGAAAGTTACGTCGAGTTACGAAGTTTAGATTCTGTTGGATGTTGACATTTCATTTGTGAACATTTATGTTGTTGTTAGGACAGAAAGTCTAGATAAAATTTTGTTTTTATGTATTTATCAATAACATCACGAATCAAGCACATATAATGGACTTTATTTTAGTTTTCAAGTTGACAGTATTGTATCTTTATTGAACAATGTTCGGACAAGTGAAGTTGAAGTTCAGACAAGTAGATGTCCTGGTCACTTGTCCGAATGGACAAGTAGGGAAAAAAGTTAATGTCGAGCCCTGAGATTGTGTATTGGTGAGATACAGCTAGGCTAGGTAGACTGTATATTGGTGAGATACAGCTGGGCTAGGTAGACTGTGTATTGGTGAGATACAGCTAGGCTAGGTAGACTGTGTATTGGTGAGATACAGCTAGGCTAGGTAGACTGTGTATTGGTGAGATACAGCTAGGTTAGGTAGACTGTGTATTGGTGAGATACAGCTAGGCTAGGTAGACTGTGTATTGGTGAGATACAGGCAGGCTAGGTAGACTGTGTATTGGTGAGATACAGCTGGGCTAGGTAGACTGTGTATTGGTGAGATACAGGCAGGCTAGGTAGACTGTATATTAGTGAGATACAGTTATACTAGGTAGACTGTGTATTGGTGAAATACAGGCAGGCTAGGTAGACTGTATATTAGTGAGATACAGGCAGGCTAGGTAGACTGTGTATTGGTGAAATACAGGCAGGCTAGGTAGACTGTATATTGTTGAGATACAGGCAGGCTAGGTAGACTGTGTATTGGTGAGATACAGCTAGGCTAGGTAGACTGTGTATTGGTGAGATACAGCTAGGCTAGGTAGACTGTGTATTGGTGAGATACATCTAGGCTAGGTAGACTGTGTATTGGTGAGATACTGCTAGGCTAGGTAGACTGTGTATTGGTGAGATACAGGCAGGCTAGGTAGACTGTGTATTGGTGAGATACAGGCAGGCTAGGTAGACTGTGTACTGGTGAGATACAGCTAGGCTAGGTAGACTGTGTATTGGTGAGATACAGCTAGGCTAGGTAGACTGTGTATTGGTGAGATACAGCTATACTAGGTAGACTGTGTATTGGTGAGATACAGCTAGGCTAGGTAGACTGTGTATTGGTGAGATACAGCTAGGCTAGGTAGACTGTATATTGGTGAGATACAGCTGGGCTAGGTAGACTGTGTATTGGTGAGATACAGCTAGGCTAGGTAGACTGTGTATTGGTGAGATACAGCTAGGCTAGGTAGACTGTGTATTGGTGAGATACAGCTAGGCTAGGTAGACTGTATTGGTGAGATACAGCTAGGCTAGGTAGACTGTATTGGTGAGATATAGCTAGGCTAGGTAGACTGTATTGGTGAGATACAGTCAGGCTAGTTAGACTGTGTATTGGTGAAATACAGTTATACTAGGTAGACAGTGTATTGGTGAGATACAGGCAGGCTAGGTAGACTGTATATTGGTGAGTTTGGGAGTTTTTATTGCTCACATCTGGTTGTAATGTTCTTACCTAACTACAACACACATAGTAATTAATTCTCCTTTTCTCACCTCCTCTGATGCCATCAAAATAATGGCTGCACCCTGGAAAATATACAGAAATTTATCTTAGAGAACTTGATAAGAGTAAAGGCTCTTGAGCAGGTTTTATCATATAAAGTGTATTCCTGTAGAACAGCTAGGCTCTTAGGCAGGTTTGGTTTGTACAGGTTTAAGTGAGGTTTTAGTACACCTGCTGTGTTACATTCTTTCTTGCATTCTCTACAGACTGGCAATACTTAATTAGAACCTTGTCTACAGAGGGTGTGCTGCAATTTGTCTTATTGAATAGAAATTAAAGTGCCCATGTATTTTGACTATTTCAAGTACACTAATAGAGAGGTTGTGTATTGAAGCTGCCCTGTTATCTGTGATCTGTGTACAGCTACAGAAGCTGTAGGGCGTGTGATAACAAATTGTCTACAGAGGTCATATCAATGTCAAATCACTCCTCAGGACTCTTATACTGTTTTTAATCAGAGACTGTGGTCGTTTGTGTGTGTTACTGGAATATTATTCATCTACACAAATCTGTAGGAATGTGATACAGCAAATAGTGTTTATTTTGGTTTCAGGAATTCTTCAGTGGAGTATGTAATGTTCTATGGAATGTTTTATAATCCAGATTTAGAACAGCAGACTTGTCTGAGTGTATAGGTGTCTTGTTCTTGCTCACTCAATCTAGCTGTGATGAGGGTTATCAAAAATTCAGCATGTTCATGCAATTAAATGATGAAGTTGTACCATAAATACTGTTCTTATAACACATTAATAATAACCAGTATGTAATATAAACACGTTCCAGACAAGGTATGTCTGATACAAAATTGTATCAAAAACAAAACATTTAATATTTCGTGTCCTTTCTGACAAACAGAAATTGTATGATCAAATCATATATTACATCGACAGTTAGATTGAAAAAGTTTGATTTCTATCAGGTTACAAGTATTAAAATATGTCAAAATAAATATCACTAATATTTTTCTTTCTTACAATCAAATAACTTGTTCCTTTATCATTAAGTTTTTGGAATGTTAACATGGTTAAGACTTCAATCTTTCATACAGTGGAATGCAGCTAGAATATCTTATTTTTGGAAGTTGATCTATACTTTGTTAGTCAATCTCTGGAGAATAATTTCTTTTTACAGGGAGCTTCATTCTGTTTGCAAGAACAACATTTTACTGATGTTCAGGAGGAATGTATTTGCTGGTATTATTGTATCTTGTATATCTTTTTAAGCATCTAAATTGAAGCTTTTCATACTGTAGGAGTTAATGTAGAAAAACCTTCCAAGATGCCAGAACACCGAAAAATCGCGACCAAGACCCCCAAAGTCAAATCTTCAGCTGTGAAAAGAGCAGAGACTGCAGACAATGTCTCCCTGGCTAGCTCTGACGGTAGGTGTCACAGATTATCTATAAAAGCTTACTCATTACTTACAGTCACTTTCATATGTATCCAAGAGTGCATATACGAGGGTTGTTCGAAAAGTTCGTGGACGATGACAATCTTTGTTATACTACTTCCAAGAAATTAAAAATAAGCACAATATCATGTGTAAAAATATTTGTTTTGTTGATCTGTGAAATTTCATTCCATTCGATTTGATAGAAATTAATTTACTTCATTTTAAAATCAACATGTTCTGTAACCACGGCGCACACTTAAAAGCAATGTAACGTCAAAAACAGCGTCAAGAGTTTCTTAAAAATTCTATCCCTATACATTCACACAGTATAGTCCAATACCCACGTATTAAAAACCTTTTTCAATCACTTGACATTTATTTTTCTAACAATTGTTCTCGTTTTATAATTTCCTTTGTTAATTTTTAATTTCTTTTACCGCATAACTGTGCTTTCATAAGATCAGCAACTCTGAAGCGCCTACGTCTTTCCATGACGTCCCAATTTTTAAAAGTTTTCGTTCAGATTTTTACAGTTAAACCGTTTCTTCACAGATTGTCCTCGTCCGATACAGAGTCTCTCTACCATTTACACACACATGCACGACTCGCTTGTGGCATATTTTCTGATTCCTCCAACATTTTTAGCGTTTATTCAGGATTTTCCCCGAGTATAACACAAAACTGCATCGTTACCTGCTGCTCCGTGACGTTCTATAACATCATCGTTTTTGTCGTTTTCAATCAGGACTACCTTTCTTCTCAAATTGCTTTCTTTTTACTGAAGCAAAATATTGAGCCATAATTTGGAATACGAATCGATATAACAGTTCTTAATTTAACCGTCTAGGATTTTTTCGTTTTTGCTCCATTTTACAGAGAAGATGACTACAGACATTATTTAGTGTATTGTTTGTAAATTACTAAATTTTCACCTGCGCCGCGATCCGATTTTTGCAGTTTTTAATTCTGGATAAGTTTTAAATAAATCATGATATTTTTGAAAAATTTAATACAAATCGTTTAAATTTATTGTTAAAATATTTCTACCAAATTTGGATAACATATGACGTTAAATAAAAAAGATATGACAGAAGTCCACGAACTTTCCGAACAACCCTCGTATGACATAAAGATCTGATTGCATTTTTTTTTTTTCAAGGTATAAAAAAGACAAAAATTTGAATACTAAGGAAAATTAGTTATACATATAAAAGTTTCCATAGGCATTATATATATACTGTGGGAAAAAAATAGTTAATAGTTACAGGAGTATTTTAAGAATTCTAATTCTATATATATTAATATTTGTATAAATACAGATTTCAAGATCATAGACACCAGCCATGATATACAGCCAGAGTTTGAAGATGGAACAACTAGACCAATCTTCAGGAAAAAGCTCAAGAAAACAGTTATATCAGGTAAAATATTACAATATCAGAGCTAAAGCTCAAGAAAATAGTTATATCAGATAAAATGTTACAATATCAGAGCTAAAGCTCAAGAAAATAGTTATATCAGGTAAAATGTTACAATATCAGAGCTAAAACTCAAGAAAATAGTTATATCAGGTAAAATATTACAATATCAGAGGTCACCCGCGTGGCGCAGTGGTAGAGCGTCTGCTCTAGAGTCACGGAGTAAGGAGTTGATCCTTACGTCGTTGGTTCGAATCCCACTGTGGGACGCGGAGACCGGTCCTTCGGATGAGACCGTATAAACCGAGGTCCCGTGTCGAAAAAGATCCCTCACTGCTCAATGGCCCTGAGTGCCGAGCATAGGTCAAAAATTTGCAGCTCTCCACTGGCAAGTAGTGGCGTCTCCATATGAGTGAAAAATTCTCGAGAGGGACGTTAAACAACATACAAACAAACAAACAAACAATATCAGGGCAAAAACTCCAGAAAACAGTAATATCAGGTAATTACAATATCAGGGCAAAAACTCAAGAAAACAGTTATATCAGATAAGATATTACAATATCAGGGCAAAAACTCAAGAAAACAGTAATATCAGGTAAAATATTACAATATCAGGGCAAAAACTCAAGAAAACAGTTATATCAGATAAAATATTACAATATCAGGGCAAAAACTCAAGAAAACAGTTATATCAGATAAAATATTACAATATCAGGACAAAAACTCAAGAAAACAGTTATATCAGATAAAATATTACATATCAGGGCAAAAACTCAAGAAAATAGTTTATAGTATAAAAATTATTCAATAGATTTATTTCAACACATTCCATTGAGCTTGATGAATAACCAATGATCTACAAATTTTTGCTAATAGTTGTGTGTATGGTTTGATTATTACAGAGAACTCTACGGCCAGACTAGAATGTGTTGTTGTTGGTATACCACAACCCAAAGTGTTATGGCTGAAGAACAATCGACCACTGAAGAGCACAGACATGTGCCGTGTTCTGTCTGAGGGGAACGTCCACATTCTGGAATTCCCCAAAACCAAGAAAGAGGACACTGGGCTCTACACAGCTAGAGCCATGAACGTCAATGGATCTACTATCAGCTCAGCTGAGCTACTTGTCGGAAATGGTAAGGTCTTGATTCTGTTGTTTTTTTTGTTAGAAATGCCCCAGTTTCCTACTTTATTAATCAAACAAATGCAAGTTCTAGAGTTTAGGATGTAGAGATATGTCAGATTATGCATGATTTCAGAAATATGCTGATGTTTTGATTATTCCATGCTAAAAATGATTCATTTTGATATTTGTGAGAAGTGAAGATTTCTAAATATTTCATATATATTATAGCCCAGCCTTCCAGTCTGAAGAAATACAAGGAAGGTTTGGCTGAGGAGGAATTCCAGACTCCAGCCTACTTCTTCCAGATGAACAGTTGTCAGGTGGAGGAGGGAAGACTGGCTCGTTTCGACTGCCGTGTGGTGGCTCACCCTAAACCAGAAATCACCTGGTAAGTTTGGTAATGCCACATGGTGACTCACCGTAAACCAGAAATCACCTGGTAAGTTTGGTAATGCCTCAAATCCCTTGTCTGGTCACACCCAAATCACCAGCAAAGTCTGGCCACATTCATTCTAGCAAAATCTGAATTAAGAATAACTGACTATGCATTGCAACACTCGAATAAGAAACTTCTGACTTAAAAATCTAAATTAAATTTTTGTCTGATAAGTTTGATAAATTAAGCATTCTAAAATATTCTTTATTCTTTAAGATGATAACATTTTAGATGGCCATTCTTTCACTTCAGGTTTTAGTTTGATGTTTGTAAAATCCATACATCTTTTTTATTTACAGGATGAAAGACGGTAAGGTGGTGCAATCTGGTGATCGTTACAAACTCCTGAACTATAACAATGAGATTTACTCCCTGCTGGTACAGAATGTGGAGATGGGGGACACAGGTCGCTACACCTGCTGGGCTCACAACAAGTATGGGGAGGCCATGACAGAGGCTTACCTTAATGTCATTGGTAGGTCATTAATCAGCAACTACAAGACACTCAGAGGGTGCTACATATCTTTTTCTCTTCCTCCAAAGTCCATGACAATCCAGATTTATATAGATAATAAAACTGGAGAATCCTTGATTCAGTACAAATCAGAATCTTGTTCAAAATCTGATTATAATCATTTGTAGCTTGCCCTTGGGGAAATGATTTCTTAAAATTTCATTAAATTTATTCCTATCTTCTTAACAAACAAACTATAGGGGTGTTAATCTATGAATCATTGTTTTAATTGACATTAGATAGCAGTTTTAATATTTAGCTTGGTTTTGAAATGATTGTTTCAGCTCTGGAAGAACAGCTAGAGGATACAGATATTGCTCCCAAGTTTTTGACAAAGTTTTATGACCAGACAATTACAGAAGGTTTGCCCACCACTTTCCAGTGTATGATAGCAGGAAAACCAATGCCAGTTGTCAGGTAAGGACAGTGTATGATAGCAGGAAAACCAAGGCCAGTTGTCAGGTAAGGACAGTGTATGATAGTAAAACCAATGCCAGTTGTCAGGTAAGGACAGTGTATGATAGCAGGAAAACCAAGGCCAGTTGTCAGGTAAGGACAGTGTATGATAGCAGGAAAACCAATGCCAGTTGTCAGGTAAGGACAGTGTATGATAGCAGGAAAACCAATGCCAGTTGTCAGGTAAGGAGAGTGTATGATAGCAGGAAAACCAAGGCCAGTTGTCAGGTAAGGACAGTGTATGATAGCAGTAAAACCAAGGCCAGTTGTCAGGTAAGGAGTAAAACCAAGGTTAGTTGTCAGGTAAGGAAGTGTATGATAGCAGGAAAACCAAGGCCAGTTGTCAGGTAAGGACAGTGTATGATAGCAGTAAAACCAAGGCCAGTTGTCAGGTAAGGACAGTGTATGATAGCAGTAAAACCAAGGCCAGTTGTCAGGTAAGGAGTAAAACCAAGGCTAGTTGTCAGGTAAGGACAGTGTATGATAGCAAGAAAACCAAGGCTAGTTGTCAGGTAAGGAGTAAAACCAAGGCTAGTTGTCAGGTAAGGAAGTGTATGATAGCAGTAAAACCAAGGCTAGTTGTCAGGTAAGGACAGTGTATGATAGCAGTAAAACCAAGGCTAGTTGTCAGGTAAGGACAGTGTATGATAGCAGTAAAACCAAGGCCAGTTGTCAGGTAAGGAGTAAAACCAAGGCTAGTTGTCAGGTAAGGAAGTGTATGATAGCAGGAAAACCAAGGCTAGTTGTCAGGTAAGGACAGTGTATGATAGCAGGAAAACCAAGGCCAGTTGTCAGGTAAGGAGTAAAACCAAGGCCAGTTGTCAGGTAAGGACAGTATATGATAGCAGTAAAACCAAGGCCAGTTGTCAGGTAAGGAGTAAAACCAAGGCTAGTTGTCAGGTAAGGACAGTGTATGATAGCAGGAAAACCAAGGCCAGTTGTCAGGTAAGGAGTAAAACCAAGGCCAGTTGTCAGGTAAGGACAGTGTATGATAGCAGTAAAACCAAGGCTAGTTGTCAGGTAAGGACAGTGTATGATAGCAGTAAAACCAAGGCCAGTTGTCAGGTAGGGAGTAAAACCAAGGCCAGTTGTCAGGTAAGGACAGTGTATGATAGCAGTAAAACCAAGGCCAGTTGTCGGGTAAGGAGTAAACCAAGGCCAGTTGTCAGGTAAGGATAGTGTATGATAGCAGTAAAACCAAGGCCAGTTGTCAGGTAAGGAGTAAAACCAAGGCCAGTTGTCAGGTAAGGACAGTTTATGATAGCAGTAAAACCAAGGCTAGTTGTCAGGTAAGGACAGTGTATGATAGCAGTAAAACCAAGGCCAGTTGTCAGGTAGGGAGTAAAACCAAAGCCAGTTATCAGGTAAGGACAGTGTATGATAGCAGTAAAACCAAGGCCAGTTGTCAGGTAAGGACAGTGTATGATAGCAGGAAAACCAAGGCCAGTTGTCAGGTAATGAATGCCAAGTGATAATTTTTCATCAGGTAGAAAACAAAGTCACCATGGTGTATTTTGATAGTTTAATAAAATTTTAATTCAGATTCCTTTCATAAACATTAATGTAAAAGTGAAATGAATAATCCCACAACATTATTTGATGAAAACTTGGAGAAATAAAAATTATGAATAAGAGAGACTTGAATTCTTAGTGATTTCATCTCCTGTGTAGTAGATTGATCAATACAGTGTTTTGTTCTTTCATATACATGTAGGTGGTTGTTAAATGATCTGGAAATCAAATCATCAGACAATATTCAGATCCAGCAACAGGAGAACATCTGTAGCCTGTCCATTAAAAAGTCTCTGTCCAAGGATGCCGGGACCTACTCCTGTCACCTAAAGAACTCCCTGGGGGAGGCAGTGTGCTCTGCAGGGCTGACACTGCTGGATCAGAGCATTAAAGGGGTCCCCATGCTACCCAAATTCTTAAAGAGAATAGGTAATTGGAAAAGTGAACGAGATGATCCTGGTGGAGTAGTTGTCAAAAACATTCTTGGTAGCTGGTGTATGTTTAGACAAAGATTGAAATAGCTGTGAACACGTATCGAAAAAATATAGTTGAATTATATATTTAAACAAATTTCCACCAGGTAACCATTTCATCCATAGAAAAAAAACCCACAAGTACAAAGGTCTGAGCTTATGCTTATCTATACCTCTGTTCAAAATTATTACAAATAATATTACAAACCTAATCATTTTCTGTTCTATAGATGATGTCACTTCAACAGCTGGAGGTCAGGTGGTATTTGAGGTGGTGGCAGTAGGTGAACCCAAACCTAAAGTCTCCTGGCTATACAACCACAAACCAATATCTGTAAGTGTGAATACAACCAGAAATCAATACATATATCTATAAGTCACATGGCTGTACAACCACAAACCAATATATGTAAGTCATGTCTCTGTACAACCATAAACCAATATCTATAAGTCTCTATACAACCATAAACCAATATCTATAAGTCTCTATACAACCACAAACCAATATTTGTAAGTCTCTATACAACCACAAACCAATATCCTGTCACATTGCTGTACAATCACAAACCAATATGTGTAAGTCACAGGACTTTGCAGCCACAAGTCAATATCTGTTACTCACATCAAACCAAAATATGCAAGTGTCATGGCTTCCAAAGTGACAAGTTATTTTCTATATGGGTCTGAAGTCTTGTTGCTTTTGTCCTTTATAGGAAACTCACAGAAGATTTCAGATGAGTCAGGAAGCGGACACTTACAGACTGACCTTGAATGACCTTCGTCAGGAGGATGAAGGCAAGATCACTTGTAAGGCTGTTAACTCTGAGGGTGAAGTGTATTGCAGTAGTAAACTGACCGTCAAACGTGCTCCAATGGAATTCAAAGAGGATCAGCCAAGGTAAGCAAATGAACTCAGTTAAAAACATTAGCTTTTAAAATGTCTGATTTCTGATCACTTCTATAAAATTCACTAAAGTAATGATAGTAATGCCTTTTTCAAAGAAATTTACAAGGGATACATTGATACCTATATGTATCTTTGAAGAAGATAGTGTAATGCTGTTCTAGCATTTTAAGTCAAGTTTTCAAATATGTTCTCTTTTTAAAGTTTCAGGCAAAAAGACTTTGATGCCAAATATGGCTGTGCCCCCACATTCATCAAGAGAATAGAGGACATTTACACACCAGAAGGAAAATCTAAATCTGCCAAGTTTGAGTGTAAAGTAATGGGGATACCAGAACCCAATGTCACATGGTAACTTTACCTTCTACTATTTTTGAATCTTGTTCAGGAATCTCAAGTGTTTGGTCTCTGAAAAACTGATTGTTTAAAGTAATTACATTGCTAGTGATAAAGTTTTTGGTTAGCCAGAGCATTATAACTTTTTTTTATTTTTTAAGGTATAAGGATAATAAACCCCTGACTCCTGGCTCCCACTACTGGATAAATCGAGACGGGGGTAACTGTACTCTGACAATACGAGATGTGATGGAGTCTGATACTGGACAGTATACATGTAAAATCAATAATCCAGCGGGAGAAACTAGCTGTACCGCATCACTGGAACTACCAAGTAAGAACATAGACATCTTCAGATATCTATTATCCTTTTTACTAGAAAGGGTATGTCTATAAAACCACTATTATCCAACACACACACAATATAAGCAGAAACATTTCCTTTCAAATAAAATATTGTAAAGCAGTTTAGAGATCCATTGTTTTAATATATGATTTTAAACAAAAATATTCACATTTCACTAACGTACAGGTACAAAGATGAAGAAGGACTCATCTGTGGATGGAGAATACTCTCCGTTTGCAAGACGTTTCTCTCGTGACTCCACCAAGTCAGATCACGAAGGTAAATAAAATTGTTTGAAATTAAGTTTCCTACAAAAAATATCACCTTCAGCTGTGTTACTAACATGCTATCCAGGAACATTTTGGTTTTGTGTCATTTTTAATTTAAAATTACTCACTATACTTAATGAAGAATAATGTATTGAATGAAGGGATTGTAAAAATCACTCTTTTTTACCAGCTGTTCCAACTCTGCCATACGACAAACCGTCACTGACGGACATCAGAGAAGAGTCGGTCAGGTTGTCATGGTCACCAGCATACACATCCACTCTGCCACCAGAGGGTAGAAATGTCAAATATGTCATTGAGGCTCGTGAATTGCCAGGGTTTGACTGGCATAAGGTGGCCACAGGTATTCATGGAAATACTCACATGGTAAAAAATTTACGGCCTAACACAGAGTATGCTTTCAGAGTTCATGCTGAGAATCAGTTTGGAATCAGTGACTCCACACAGCCTGTTATGTTGTCAAGACCCAAACCAGGTATTAAAGTCAATGTCACTTTTAAAATGAATTTAAAAGATTATAGATTCCGAGTATTGATGATGCTAGATTATTTTTGTTATGACCATATGTGTCTGTTATTTTTACAGTGGAGGAAGAAATGGCTGAGAAATTCCATGTGAAACCACATGAGTCTAGAGGTAAAGTTACATTAACTGTTCAGATGCATACTTGGCTGTTCATTTTTGAAGCAGTTCTTTCAGGGGATTAAAGTATTTTTTGACATTGATTTTTTTTTATGACAGTTCCACCAAAGTTACCATCCTCTAAGCCTTTTGTGACAGAGATGGGTCAGGAAACCGTTCGGCTAGCCTGGAAACCTGCAGTGGCTCCAATGGCTGCCAAGAAGGTGGCTCCCATTTCATACCGCCTGGAGGCCCAGGAGTTACCAGCCAAAGACTGGATCCCTGTGGCCCATCGAATCAGGGACACCAGTTACTACCTTCCAGAGCTGAAGTCTGACAGGGACTACAACATCCGAGTCCGTGCAGAGAATAAGTATGGACAGAGTGAATCTTCTGAACCACTTTGGATCCCCAGAGCTACTCGTAAGTACAAGTGCTGAAATAAACTTCTATTTAATTTAGAACCTTTAAGTAATTTGAAATTTTTTTTACATATATATGTGTATATTTGACATTATATCTTATCCATGCAGATTTCCCTGGTGTGCCAGTCAGCAGACCCACCATTGTTGACATGGAGACAGATTCTGTCCGTGTGGCTTGGCAGAAGGTAGATATCCCATCATTCTCAGCAACAGACGAACCTCTTATGTACATGTTAGAGATGCAAGAGCCACCAAAACATGACTGGCGACAGATTGCCAGGGACATTCCTGACCTGAGCTACACAGTGAGGGGATTGACTCCTGGACAGGACTACAGATTTAGGGTCAGGACTAGGCCCTTGGGTGGAGCTTATGGTGAACCATCTCCCTCAACTTCTCTCTACAGAACTCTAGGTAAATATTACTAGAGTCCACATCAGTCTTGAGGTCTTCAGATTTTCCTTAAAGTATATTTCAAAAATTGAAGCTTGATTCAAGGTATTTCAGACAAGGGGAAGTGTATGTCAATTAAAAAAAAATTGTCATTGGTAATATACATGTACTACTCAGAGCTCTGAAGTTATATTTTTATATTTGGATTTGTTTTATTCATGCAGAAGTTTTAAACTCTGCTCTACTCTTTGCCCTGATTAAATCTGCATTTTAAAAAAAATATTTTTGATAGCAACCACCAGAATCCCCATAGACCGACTGGAACTTGAGGATACAGAGCCAGACTTTGAGGGGGTCCGCTTAGCCTGGAACCGAGTGGAGATACCACCATACCACAGTGACGAGGAACCACTGCTGTACATGGTGGAGATGAATGAGCCACCACTAGATGAATGGAGGCCTGTTGTGTCTGGTCTACCCACAACACGGTACCGCGTAACTGACCTACTGCCAGACAGAGACTACCGCTTCAGAGTAAGGGCCATAACTCCGTATGGAGTAACACCACCCTCCTATGCTCTGCCCGTCTCCTATAGGAGACCAGTGCCAGGTATATTTTATACATTCTACTTATTTCACAAACCATTATACCCACACATTTTAAAGAAAGCTTAGATTCGTCCCATCTGCCAAAAGGGTGTGATTCCATAATGGAATTCAGTATGAAAATAAGCAAAGATAGCTTTTTCTCTCATGTTTGTGGATAGGGGTTTATTTTTTTTTCTCTTGTTGAACATGTACATGTATTATATTTGATGCAGAGATATTTCTGGATAATATCTATAGTTTTCTGTTAATCTCCAGCCCCCAGCAGAGCACTGCCAGACATGCCCAGGCTTCTGTATGATGAGTCAGATGCTCTAAAGCTCACCTGGAAACCACCAGTGGTAGACACTAAACGGCCCCTAAGATACCAGATCCAGATGCAGGCTCCACAGAGCTTGGACTGGCGACCCTTGGCCTCTGGAATCACAGACACCAGTTACAGGATCCGGGGTCTGGGACCCAGCAGGGATTATACGTTTAGAATCATCCCAGAGACTAGCCTTGGACCTCTGCAGCCTCTGCCTCCTGTGTCTCTCACAGCACTTCCAGGTACTGTACTGTCTATCCAGAAGAAAATCATGCAAAATGAGTGTAAATATTAATCAGAGAATTACATTGTATTTACCTTTTCAAAAGAAGTTGCTCTTAATTTTTTTTAAAGGGGTTTCTTTTAAATATAGAGTAGACATTTCTTTTCAAATGAGTACATGCATGTATATTTCGTTAAGTGCTGGGTAAAATGTGTATTTCAATCATTGAAAAAATGAACTTTTAATGAAATCTATAGCTTTTTTCCCTTTTTTTTATAGCTCCCAGATCTATTCTACCCAGAATGCCAGATATTGTTGACCTTGAGCCTGACTCTCTGAGATTGTCCTGGCAACGACCTTACATTGACCCCACAGTGCCAATCTCATACAGAATTGACATGCAAGAACCACCTTCTCGTGAATGGAGACCAATTGCTACTGGAGTTCCTGACACTCAGTACCATGTGACAGGCTTAAGACCAAATAAGGACTATCTGTTTAGGGTCACACCTAGAACATCAACTTATGATATGGAACCACTTCCATATGTGACTCTTACTTCACTGCCAGGTATTCAAGACAAGGGTCTATAATTTTGGTTTTGAAAAAGAAGTGATGTCCCAAGCTTTAGTATTAAAGTAACAATTTAAAATCCAAAACGTGAAAAATTTGTTACAGAAATGTGCACTTAAATTTTCAGGACTGATAATGATAAAATCTGTATGATATAAGGTTTTTCTGGGTATAATGATCTTTATTTTTTTCAGTTCGACCAAGACTGTTCTCACAGGAGCCAAGAGCAGTAGAAAGGGGCAAGGACTCTGTTCAGTTGTCCTGGAGACCCGCTGAGTTACCTTATTTTGCTCGTCACAAATTACCAATCCGTTATGCAATAGAGATGAGAACTCTTCCTAGCACAAACTGGGAGCCAGTAGCTAGAAATGTACAAGACACTACTTACCTGGTAAAGGGTCTACGACCAGAAAAGGAATACCAGTTCCGCATCAAAGCACACACAGATTTCGGAAGCAGTGAACCTTCACTTCCTGCAACAATCTACAGGAAGCCAGGTTTTCATATTTTATACAATATATTTAAAGGGCACAAGTAATGCATGGAAATTTAAATTATTCAATTTTTTTATTGCAACACTTCAGTTGAAATAAGAGGGAAATCATTATAATTTAAAGCCTATGTTGCCTTTATTTTATCAACATTATGGATTACAGTGTATATTTACCTATTATTGTGAGAAGCTTAATGGCAGAATGACTGATTCCTGATTCACACTTTCCAGTACCAGTCTTCCCTCGGTATGAGCCGATTCTGACCAACCTTAACCCTGACTCTGTGGTCCTCTCCTGGCAGCCAGCCACCCTCCCTGGACACATCAGTCACATGCCCATGGTCACCTATCGCATCGAGATCCAGGACCCCCCAGAACGAGGTCACTGGAGGACCTATGTGTCCAATGTCCCCAAGACAAGCTACCATGTGACCAATCTACGTCCAGACAGGGATTACTTGTTCAGAATAAGGGCAGAGGCTGATAATATCATGACAGAACCATGTATGCCTGTCTATCTGCCACGAAGAGCTAGTAAGTTCAACAAATGTATCAATCTTACGAAAGTAAAAAAATTACTCAAGTTTCAGATTTAATACGAAAGGTAGGATACTTTTGATAGTTTGATTTCCACATTTATTTAAACATAATGTCCCAAAAGATAGGGATAAAGCATAGGCTTTCAATTTAACTTTCAACTAAAAAGGCATATACTGTTCCAAAGAAATCAAGTAATGTGGATGTAATCATATTTAAAACCAAAGGTCCACCAAGAATGCCGCAAGAACAACCATATGTGTTTGAGCTGCAGCCAAACTCGCTGAAGTTACAGTGGAGATCTGTAGAGCTGCCGTCACGCATCACTGACTACTCACCCGTCACTTATCGCCTGGAGGTCCAGGAACTGCCACGCTCTGATTGGATGACACTGGCCAAAGGAATACCACATACCGACTTCCATGTCACCCACCTGAATCCAGACAAGGATTACAGATTCAGGGTCAGGGCAGAAAATGACATGGGCATCAGTGATCCCACACCTGAAGTCTGTGTCAGGAAACGTGCTGGTAAAATATACTTTGTTTACAAGCCTTAGCTTATTTTATAAAATGTTGTTTAAATATGTTGCAAAATTTTAACTACTTGAAGATATACATGTATATACAGGAAAAAAATAATGAAGTGATCAGAAGAAAGTGTTTTTATTTTTCATTAGACATGAATAAAAAGTCAATCTGTTTTCTTTATTTTCATGCTTTTTAGCTCACCTGAGCTGAAAGCTCAAGTGAGCTTTTCTGATCCCATTTTGTCTGTAGTCCGTCTGTCTGTCTGTCCGTCTCTCTGTAAACTTTTCACATTTTTGACTTCTTCTCCAGAACCACTGGGCCAATTTCAGCCAAACTTGCCACAAAGCATCCTTGGGTGAAGGGGGTTCAAGTTTGTTCAAATGAAGGGCAACGCCCTTTTCCAAGGGGAGATAATTAAGAATAAGTGGAAAATTAATAGCATCTTTTAAAAATCTTCACAGGGCCAGGAAAGATGAAACTCATGTGGAGGCATCCTCAGGTAGTGTAGATTCAAATTTGTTCAAATCATGACCCCCGGGGGTAGGGCGGGGCCACAATGAACAGTCAAAGTTTTACATAGAAATATATAGGAAAAATCTTTAAAACTCTTCTTCTCAAGAACAGCAAAGCCATGATGAGTCATATTTATATGGAAGCATCCTCAGGTAGTGTAGATTCAAGTTTGTTCAAATCATGACCCCCGGGGGTAGGGCGGGACCACAATGAACAGTCAAAGTTTTACATAGAAATATATAGGAAAAATCTTTAAAACTCTTCTTCTCAAGAACAGCAAAGCCATGATGAGTCATATTGATATGGAAGCATTCTCAGGTAGTGTAGATTCAAGTTTGTTCAAATCATGACCCCCTGGGGTAGGGTGGGGCCACAATGAACAATCAAAGTTTTGCATAGAAATATATAGGAAAAATCTTTAAAAAACAGCAATGCTATGATGAGTCATATTGATATGGGAGCATCCTCAGGTAGTGTAGGTTCAAGTTTGTTAAAATGTTGGTAATCTTTTCAATACTGAACTGATTTACTGATTTGTGCTTTTGCCTAGCCAATGTGCTCAGGTGAGCGATGTGGCCCATGGGCCTCTTGTTGTCTAATCTCTCAAATCATCAGTATAATCTAAGTAATAATGATACCTGTTATTTATTTAAAGTGGCTCCCACAATGCCCCAAGAAGAGCCATTAATTTATGACATCGGTCCATCTGGCTCATTCTGGTTGTCATGGAGACCAGCTGATGTTCCTCTGTACCTTGCAGACAGCAGTCCCATCACATACACAATCTACGTCCAGGAACCACCCAGCACCACCTGGAGACCACTTGTAAAGAGGATACCACACCCATTCTATCACGTCACCAACCTGAGAAACGACAAAGACTACAGCTTCAGAGTGCAGGCAGAGAATGAGTTTGGCCTCAGCAGACCCACCCTGCCAATCAAAATGCTGGGAATTAGAAGTAGGTTATGGTGTCCAAAGCTTAAAATGTTAAGGATACAGTGTAATTTTTAAAGATGGTATGAGTATATAGTTTATATAAACAAATTTTTGCATTTTTGAACGTGAGATAAAGAATAAATGAAGTATACAAAGACAAAGATTAAAGACTACATAGGTATTACATAAATTAATATTTTTTGCGATCCTTCTGAAGATAGATAGTCAAACACCATAATGATGAATGTGTAATTGTGTATTGTAGGTTGGACATCTCCAATTGAGGTCCCAGAAATCACAGACATTGATGATACAAGTCACTCCCTCCGCCTGAAATGGAGGCCCAAGTCTATGTCACCATTTAACAAAGGTCCTATCACATACCAGATAGAGCGTTGGGAGCCTGGCCAGAGAAACTGGACCCGCATGGCCAGTGGAATCAGAGACACGACCTACCAGGTTAAAGGATTACCATTTGATCAAGATCACTTGTTCAGGATTCGAGCTGAGGCAGAAAAAGTATTGAGTGAACCAACCTATCCTATCTCATTCAACAGGTTCAGATGTAAGTCTGAGGCTGAGCTAGCTACCTTGATATCCTTAGTAAAATATTGATTATTCTAAAAGTTCTAAAAGGAAAAAAAAAAATGACAGCTCATTGTAAAATAAAGATATGTCTGTAAACTATTGGTAGTAATACATTATTCCTCTTCTGTAGTACCCTCTCGTTTCCCAGTTCCTCGTCCTCAACTGTATGATGTGGAACCTGATGCCGTGAGGTTATCATGGTTACCACTGCCTAGAGGAAATGTGGAGGATCCAATCATCTTACCACGACGCTATCGTCTGGAGCTGCGCGAGCTTCCATCTCATGACTGGAGACCAGTCGCTCATGACATACCAGACACCAGTTACAGGGTCACAGGGCTCAAACCCAGACAGGACTATGAGTTCAGAGTCAGAGGGGTATCTGAGGAGGGTCCAGGAAGCTACACCAAACCTATCGCTCTCTATAGGAGGCCAGGTAAGCTGTAGGAGGGAAACTTAGAGGACCATTGATAAAAACTTACAAATGAAAGAAAACAATTTCAAGGGACAGTCAGACTATACCTGAAATTTGTCATTTAATTTTCACAGAAATTTGCAGTTTTGATTTGATAATTTATTGTAATAGCTATACCATATCCTACTTTTGCAGTGTTACCCAGCACTCCAATTGGCACACCCAAATTAGTGGCTGTAAAAGACGACTACGTAGACCTGAGATGGACATTGGTTGATGTGCCAGCTTATAGTTATGATGAAGAACCTCTGGCCTTCCTGATAGAGGCTCAGGCACCACCAAGATACGACTGGAAACCAGTGGCCAGAAATGTAAGAGGAACCTCCTATCGCATCTCCAACTTACAGAGACACCAGGATTATTTGTTCCGTATCCGTGCTGAGTATCCCTCAGGACTTTCCTCACCCTCACCCCACGTCCCAGTCTATCGCAAACCAAGTGAGTTATACCTCGTCACAGGTAGTCATGGTAGCGCATTAACCGACCTCAATAGTAAGCTAGTTTCACCTGTAGTTAGCACTAACCAAATGTCCTCAGGTACAAGGTCCAAGAAGGACCTATTCCTGGCTGAGCTTAAGAGAATAGATGACAGACGCAAGGAGTTTGGAGAAAAGATTCAGAGGTATAAACAGAATGCTATCAAGGCCTTGACAGATACTAAATCTGTGAAGGAGAAATTCTTGGCAGAATTGTCACTGGACAGTAAAACACCTCCCCTCAGTCCTAGGTCAAGGAGGGAAAAATTCCTCATAGAGAAAACATTGCCGCCAAAACCAAAGATTCAAGGACTGGAGAAAAAGGCAGATTTTGGAAAAGCCCTGGAGAAGTTTAAGTCACTTGAGACAATTCATCCTATACAGAAACCAGTGACACATCACAGAGATTTCTCCACTTCTGTGGGAAGACCCACTTCTCCCAGAAAACTCTCTCTTGACTCCCGCATGCCTGTCTCCACACCCATTCACCACACACCAACCTTGACCTCTGTCCTTGACACCAAATCCAAGGTCACAGGAGTACCAAGGAAACCATATATTTCTACGGATGACACTTATTTGTCAAGCAGACGTGGTGTCTCACACCACACAGATTTGTCTTACAAGAAGCGCCACTTGGTGCCTGATAGGTTGAAATACAGACAGATGACCACTGAGTCTTACACCAGTGCTATGTCTGACAAGTACAAATTGTCCAGTGTTAGGACCTCCAGGTACAAACCTGCAGAGAGGAGGTACTACTTCCCTCGCCCACACTCCTGGGGAGGCAGAGAGTCCCTGAGAACTAGAACCAGTGGTATGTCCAGTAGACTGACCTATGATGTGTACACTTCTTCTCGTGCTAGGCAGTCTTCACTGACGACCACTCCCTATTCCAGGGATAACCGCAGTGGCTCCCTCTCTTTGATAGGTAAAGCAATCTACCATGACAGATACTCTCACTCCATCACTACCAGACCAAGCTTGAGTCTGACAAGATCCTCAAATTACACCTCTAGCTATAGAGAGTCTTCATACTCGGACACTTTGAGACGAGGTCGATCACTGTCTCGAGACTACACCTCCCCTAGTAGGTATGACAGTGCAGCTAAAGGCTCTAGACTGTATACTGGTTCCCCTGGTAGGTATGACAGTGTAGGTACCACCTCAAGATTGTATAACACCACATACTCCAGAGAAAGGACATCATACTCTGTAGGGCCTAATATGGGGGGAAGTAGGAAGTACTCGGTACCTACAGATTACATTTCTGCCAGAAGTGAATGTGATAGAAACAGTGAGTACAGAGGCTGGACACCAGACCGATTCTCTATGTCTGGTCTCTCCCGCTTCACGTACACCAGTCCCTCTCCCTCTGTCACTAGTAGCCCCTCCAGAGCCACCACAAGGAGCCCCTCAAGGGCCAAAACTTTGTTTGATACACTTTCAGTAAGGTCTGGGTCAGTTTCCCTTGCTGAGAGTGGGTACAAGTCTAGAACTCCATCTGTCTCCTATAGTCTTCTCCCTTCAAGGAGCTCCTCTGTGACTCAGTCTATGATAAAATCGAGGAGTGGCTCTACAGCGGACTCCCCCTCCCGCCTTAAACCCAGAAGTGCCTCAGCCATCCTTACTGGCCTCCCTCCCATTAAACCCAGCACCTCTGTCCACAAAAAGAAGGATGTCTCTGTATCCTACACCTCTTATCTCCCTAAAACCAAGCAATCCTTGAAGGAAAAATCTGCCTCCAGGGACAGTGTTCTGACTGAATCCTCAGATCCCTCCCTAACCAAAAGCACCCCCAGTCCCTCCCAGAGTAAACAGCCTGCTAAAAAGGAGAAGGAGAAAGTTATAAAGGAGTCAGTTAAAGGGGCACCTGACAAACAGATTGAGGAGCCAGTGAGGGCAGAGGACACAGGGGAGGAGGAGACAGTGTCCTGGCTGAGGACACCTGCTAGTCAGACCATCAAGCACCTAGCTTAAAAAACAGTAACAATTGCTCTTCTAAATATGACATGTTGATCAGACAGAAAAAATGGTTACATATTTGACTTATATATAGAACTGCACAGAGCCAGATGCATTTTAAAGCACTTCAAATTTATTATAGATATATATTTTACAACTGCCTAGATGTATTATACTGTAGATTAAGATAGTGCTGAAATATGTTTGTATAGCATTGAGAACACAGAACCTATATATATATATATGTATTGTCTTGATTCAACACAGTAGATATGTTATGAATATGTATTTAGCAATCTTTCTGCACTCTGCACATGTATACAGCTTTGACACAAACAATACTCCGAAGTATGCCACGTATATGTAATTTCTGAGAATGTTACATCAGATCTACAGACTCTCAAGAGAAGCAGGTTAATGTGATTTGACAAAGGATATGACTCTGGCTCTTTGTCCGGAATTTTTTTCTCTCCAATTATTCAGTTTTGTAAGATAACAAATTTTTATATAATAGCACCCAATGGATTGTCCAGAGACATTGACAAACTAATGACTGACTTATGATGTGTGGATTTCTTTTTTAATTTTCTTGGGAAAGAAATTGTCAAGGGAATTAAGTCCATTTCATAGTCTTCGTAAAATTACTATGGCATGTTTATCATGTTTGGGGACTTTTACTTTGGGTCTGTTAAAGAAGGTAATGAAGAGGACTTTTGTAGAGAAGAGTGATTTGCAGTGAAACTTAGATTCCAAGTATTCTTTTTTATTCCTAGATTATTTTTTAGGATGAACAATCAGTGTTGAAGTTTATCGTTCATTACATCCATTTTTTAAATGTCAGTGCTCAAAAAGTGATATGGTACGGTAGTACACAACGAAAAAGTGCAATAATTCTTTTTTGTTATATGTTATTAGTGCAATAATACCCATAAAACAACAGTGCAATATGTTTTCCAATATACTTTGGGTTTAAAAAAAAACTAAACAAATTTAAATGTTTTTAAATCTGCATGTAACTGTTAAAACTATGACATTTCATCTTTAAGGTTTACAGAAATTTGTTATAACCCAACCTGTTGCTAACAACTTAAGCATTTCATGTTTTTCACCATTTGATGTAATGTGATTGTTGCTTTTAATAAAAAATATTGTAAAAATGTCCATATTATTTCAAATTTCTTCTTATTTCTCAGCTGTATGTTTAATTGATACTAACAGTATTGTTGATGACACATCATTGACTATAACAATAGATAAAAAAGACACGAACCTAGAAAGAAAAAACTCAAATATATATATATATATATATATATATATATATATATATATATATATATATATATATATATATATATATATATATATATATATATATATATATATATATATATATATATACACACACACCCTCACACACACACTTGAAAAGAGAGAAACATACTCAAAAGGGACCAAAAAATAGAGAAAAGCAGAAAAAAAAAGTTGAGCAAAAGGAAAGAGATAAACAAAACAAAACATGGTACTTTGATTAAAACCTAATTTTATAGCTACTCAAGTAAAAGAAATTTTATTTTCTACATTTAGATTGGTTAATTAGTCCATGGTTTAATAAAACTTTGATTGATACAAGTACACTAATAATTTGCACTAACGGAAATGGATAAGTTTAGAGGTTGACAAATATGTTGTTTGGCATACTACTATGATAATTAAATCCTTACTTTTTACAGAATTCCCATGGTATAAGATTTTATTACATCCTTACTTTTTACAGAATTCCCATGGTATAAGATTTTATTACATCCTTACTTTTTACAGAATTCCCATGGTATAAGATTTTATTACATCCTTACTTTTTACAGAATTCCTATGGTATAAGATTTTATTACATCCTTACTTTTTACAGAATTCCTATGGTATAAGATTTTATTACATCCTTACTTTTTACAGAATTCCTATGGTATAAGATTTTAAGAAGTCGGGGTAAATGAAGTTTGTCCAAGTTTATTGTTACTGAAATTAATATTCTACCATTCACTCTCTACTTGATCTTAATATTTCCTCTGTGAGGATTCAGGAACATATTGATGAAAAGTTTTGAAGTTTTCTATAATTACAGGCAAAAGGAGCATTAAAAAAATTGACAAATCCAATATGAGTTTTTTCCCTTTTATTTTTTAAATGTAAATGAAAAATAAAAATGAAGCAGAATTCCGATTGCTCTTGATATGTTCCTTGAATCTTTATTTCTCTCCTCTTTAAATATTATTTACTAAATAATTAATTTCCACTTGTACTTTTTTATCAATCTTATTATCTTAACTTTCCATGTTTTAATTCCATTTTCTGTATACCTTTATTAATATAACTAACAGGTTCTATAGTGATGGGGTTGGCAAGGGACCTGTATATAAACTAAGAAAAAAAGTGGCTTTGGTAACTAGTATTGAAGGACCTCATGTGATATATAAAACACTGATATAAAACGTAAACAATAGATTTGAACAATTTTGGGATATGTCTGAAAATCACATTTTTACACAAAATTGATGCACTTTGTGTAAGTCTTCAAGATGTATTGAAGATGTATTTAGAATATGTGTATCTATGGTCTGTAGAACTTTTGACTCCAAGCAATCTATATATACTTATATGCTGTATGGATTGAGGCAAGTTAGTTTACATGAGAGAGAGAGAGAGAGATTCTGAAAGGATGGAGCAGTGATGCTGTTTAATGGGATACAATAATTTTTCTTCAAGTGTTATCTTCACACAGTAAATCACTTACTAATGAGCACCAATAATGAATAGTGTTTATAGGGACCAGCAATCACTGCCCAGAGGGAATTTTGTACTGGAGCCAGTTTTGTACTCAGCAGGGGATGAGATCAGATGAACAGAAAAGTGGTGGTTTATGTTACAATAATAAAATAAAGATTAAGTAGAAATATCTGGAAATAAAAACTGCTGCTGCATCTGAAAATATGTATTTTTTCCCCAAGAATCAGTCTGAAATTAAAATAAAAATCTGGGCTCTGATATTTTTCAAATTGAAGTTGATTATCTTAGAAATGTTTTTTTTATTTATTGATTTTAATTTGGGTAATATTAATTTTGAATTTTCTTGGGTAAATCTATATAATTTGATATAAATATATTTATTTACAATTTAGAGTTGAATTAGTAAACATAAAAAAATGTCCAAATCTGAACATTTTCAATTCTCCATAGAATACTAGTATGTATATGAGTATATGCACAAATGTTTATCCCAGAATGATAATTTCCATTGTTTGGCAACATATTTTAGCATTATTGGGAACCTCTCTATATTTTGTTATTCCAGTGGACATACCCACCATAGATACCCCACTGTGAGCCCCAATATGCATATTTATGTCAATCAAATACATAATAGATGTAGAACTTCCCCCCCTGAGAACCCCAATATCTGAACCATGTGTTGTCAATCTGTTCTGCTCCCTCTGAACATTATGGCTGCTCTGTGTTAAGGAAGCATCTCTTCATCACTGGTAACTAATGAGTGTGCTCCCCTCCTTTTCTATTTTCTCTTCAGAATTTGTTTTATTTTCCATCAAATACCAATTATTTATTCTAATGTGTGCACATGTTTTGCCAAAACTCTTTGACTAGTGTGTGTTTGCATGGGAGTTCTCTTAATCCTTATGGCATTGGATGTTGATTGGTTTTTAGACATATGTTTATATATAAGAACTAAGATTTGTATTACTGATTTAATCATTTATTTATAAGTGAGACAATTTGTCATTGAACAAGGAACTCAGTAATATCTGTACTACCTCTAAATAATTATAAAAAGAAATACTAAGTAGTATGTAAATTTGGGAGTTTGTTCATGATGAAAGACATTTAATTGAAACTTCTGATAGGCTCAACTGTTCATGTAAAATTTGTAGAGTTCTTTTCTTTTGATGTCAACTCTGAGAATATGTTAAGATAAGCCCTTTTATTCTGACTGCAGTCCACAAAATCATTTTAATTTGAGATCTGAGAGGAGTTCCAGGAAGTAGGATCTATCTTTAAACTTTGACAAGACCTATGTAAAAGTAATTTCAATCTATAATATTTATAGAATTTATTACATTTAATGCAGACATTGCAGTTGTGCTGTATTTTAATAACTTCTCAGGAAGAGGCATTTACTAAGAGAAGATAACTATTGTTAAGTTATTTTCAGCTAATATTAATCTATAAATTGTTACCTAATTTATTGAATCATGTAAAATAATTTTAGGAGCAGAATAAGATATGGGTAAATAATTCCGGTGTAGGACCTGGGTTTGAGTAAGAGATTTGTATCAGATGTTTTGTATCAGACATTTCCCCTGTTCTGTGTAGCTGTACAGTTGTACAGTATGTAGGGGTTAGCCAGTGACTTGTGTTGTTCTGACCATAAATATCAGGGTCAGTATGGATGAACCAGTTCTTTCTGTTATGTAGCCAGAGACAGGAATGGTTGCCCTGCTCCAGGAAAGCAATTGCCAAATGACTTGTATGAACTATTGCCCAGACTCTAGTGTCTGCCTGCTGTATTATTATATAATTGATTATAATTATCTTATTCTGCAAGCAGACAGAAAAAAAGTTATAATAGGTTACATATGGGTAATAATTATTAATGTCAATGAAATTTGAATATATAAAGAACTGTAATCTTCATTGCTCAAAATCCAATGAAACAAAACTGGTACATGTATAATATCACTTCAATTTCAATCAGCATTTTAAAAAATCAATATAAGTACATGCATTAATTTAAATCAGATGCAAGTTGGGGAAAAAAAAAATGAAATTTCAGTCTGTATAAGCTTACTTATAATTATTGTGCTCTTAGGTCAATTTTGATTGATATAAAATTTTCCTTTTTTTAAGGGGAGGGGGGGGGGGGTTAAATATTCTAGAATAACAGCCAAAAAGTTTGTTAGCTATTGCAATTGTCAAGATAGTTCTCAATCAATGTAATTGAAAGAAGGAAAGGGGGGGGGGGGTGAGTCCTTGAAATATACATGTAGTAAAGAAAATATATATAACTGTAAGGTTGTAACTATATAAACAAGCATTCTGAGAGTATTGCATTAGCAATACTAGTCCCCTACCGGCAAGTGTAATCTGGTTCCCGTTAAGAATTGAAAATGCCAAAATTCCGTCAAAAATTAATAAAGCGGGACGAAATGCAAACTTGATCTATAACTAATCAAGGTAAAGCTACATACCAAAAATCAGCTCAATATCTACAAGCGTTTAGAAGAAAATTGTGGAAAACCCTTAAAAATTGAAAAGGCCGTAATTCCGTCAAAAATCAATGAAGCGGAACGAAATGCAAACTTGATCTGTAACTCATCAAGATACACTCACATACCAAAAATCAGCTCAATATCTGCAAGCGTTTAGGAAAAAAGTGCGGAAAACCAAGTGGGACAGACTGACAGACAGACAGAGGGACAGACAGACAGACGGACAGACAGACAGACGGATGGACAGACTCAGAGGAAACCTATAGTCCCCTCCGGTTTCACCGGTAGGGGACTAATAACATATGTAACATTTTGAGAGAACATTTGTAGGAGAGACATGAATTGTTTTGTTGAATTGCATGATTACAAGTATTGCAGTGGATAATCTGTGTTATTGATGGTTTGTGAGTGAGGCTGACAGCTGATTATACTGCGCTACTGCTCACCTGATCCGACTTAACAAGTGTGAATCTCTGGACATGACCAAAATTAATACCACATGTAATAAAGTCGCTTCAGCATTTACTGATCTAACTCAACAGAGTACAATGTTATATATATAGGGCTGCTGGATCAAGTTATGTAATTATTTATAAATCTACTGCAGCTCACTCATAGATGAGAATTTAGGAGATTCATGACAGAATTAGTGAAAGCTTAGCACAAATTTCTGCATCCATGAATGATATTTTTGTTAAGCTGTGTTTAATTATCAAAATTTTGATTGAAGGGAAAATGAGTTGATTATTTTGCATGGATTTATTTTAACATTTTCAGGCAGGTACATGTAAGTAGTTAAAAACTTAAGAAATAAGTTGTAAAATTGTTTAAAATTATATTGTAAAATATTAATGATTAGAACATATCTAACATTGCCTAAACTATCTGAGTTTAAATGAGATTTTGAATTTGAAACAGACTTGAGCATGTTCAAACATTGCATGAACCCTTTTATTGAAATATAACTTCAACCTTGTTTTAGTTCGCCCAGGAATCCCCATTGCACGACCTGAAATCTGGGAAGAGGAACCTCACCAAGCTTGCCTTCGCTGGCGTCGAGTTTATATTCCCCCGTACGATAACTTAGATGTCCCACTGAACTACCAGATAGAAGTCCAGGAACCTCCACTCAAGAACTGGCGCACCTTGGTCAAAGGACTGAGTATGTCCGAACACACAATCACTGATCTCGCTCCTAGGAAGGATTACTTGTTCCGCATTAGGGCAGAGACCCCAAATGGTGATGTGACTGAGCCCACTCCCCCCATTGCTTACTACAGATCTAGATGTGAGTACAATCTTCCTGTCTTCAAAAAAACAAACAAATCAAAAAAAAAAAAAAAAAAAATTAACTTACCAGTTATCAATGGGTTTATGGTCTGAAATGGCATCTCAGATCAAGGTTTGAGTACACATTGATTGTGATTTGTCTGTTTTGGAATCAATTCTTTTAAACAACTTTGGCCCTTGAATTCAGTCTATTTGAATAGACATTTTATTTTATGGTAGTGGTCTCAGCCAAGCTACATATCAAATTTAGATCACTTGCAAGTATAGAGCTAAAGTAGAAATTTCTTTTGGGTTAGACCACATATTGCTGTTGACAGTTTACTTCCATTCATTGTTGGATTAGCCTACTCTCTATGGAACACATTAGAAACATATGTTTGTACTTGTACTACCAGGATTTGACAGACTTAAGGATATACATTGTGTTAAAAAGAGTACAAAAACATTTTTTACACCATAATAGAACTTATTTTTCCTTGACTTTGAGATTTGGAGACATAACCTAATACAGGATATTTTACCAGCTGGTAAATTTGGTGATTTTATCCTAAAAGTTAACATTTATTTTTTGTGTAGATAATTTTAAGGGATAGTTCTATTTATTTACTTTAACAGTATATTTGATTGAATTATTATCATCTATTTTTTTAGGACTGCTATAACCATGCTAATAATACCAAAATTAGATGATTGCTAAAATTTCCCATTATATGGTATTTATATAAGCAAAAAAAGCATTTGTGAATTAATGAGCTTATGCCCAGTTATAGACAAATGTTGTTTTTTTTAATGGTTTCCTTAAAAGTTGTGATACTCTGCTAAATTTGGTCCAGCCATGTGAATCACTAGGTGTTAAGATTTTTAGGAGGTTTGAGAATATTTGCTTACATTATAATGCCTTTGGTACAGAATTTCACTTTGGAATCAAAACATGGAGCCAAGACCCATTCTGAGGAAAAATCTTGGCCTTATAATAAGAAATGATATAATCAAGGAGACAGAGAGACTTTCAAGATCTCCTAGCTATGAAAGGGGTGGGTTGTTATCTCCTTACCAAGACAAGAGTCTGTTACATTCACCTAGGTACAGAGACACGGTGTCACCCAGTCCCAGGGATGTCCATTATAAAGACTTATTGTCTCCCAGTCATGGACACAGAGACACAGTGTCACTCACTGCTAGGGACTTCCATTATACAGAATTATTGTCCCCAAGCCATGGGCACAGACATGTAAGGTCACCAAGTTCTAGAGACAGTGGTTACTCACTCCAGGAATTCTCCACATGGCAAAAAGAAATACAATCTAAAAGTCCAGGCAATAAACATGGAGCTGCTTTCAAATTTGATGAAGATATTCTCTATTCATCAAGGCATGGACGAAGCATTGACAGACCAAGTTCTAGAGAGAGCACATATTTAAAATCTTCAGAAGATAGATTTCTTTTTGATCGATTAGAACAGAGAGAATTCAGGTCACCTAGTCCAATGAGTGGTTCTCCATATTCCTATAGAGAAAGGAGTCTTCTGTCTCCAAGAGAAGAAAACAGACGTTCTTGTTCACCAAATTCTCAGAGTAGAGATGGCTTCCATCCAATTCCTGATCAAAGGAGCTCAAGGGAGTGGGGCTCATCACCAATAGAAATGCACAAGGCCAGACAATTCCTAAGTGTTAATGATAAGCCAGTGCTTTCGTATCAGGAAAGGGAGTTACTCTTAATCAGTCAAGAGCGGAGCTGTTTTAATTCTTCTAGAGACAGGACTCCACAGGATATTTTACTACCTGGACAAAGTGAAAGTGAAAACATTCCAGCACAACCCCAAATTTCATCGCATACCACTCCCACATTCCTCATAGAAAATGAGAAACTCATTGATTCAAATCATTCCAAAAAGGATTTATCTCAAGATTTTACCAGTATTTCGACCTCGGATGAAAAACAGGATGTCCATGCAAACAAACAGACTACAGACAGTAGCACCCTTGAGAGGTCCAATAAAGAGGATGAGAAGATGTTTTTAAGTGTTGAGGGTGGACAGTTAATGCTTCAGGCTAAAGAAAGTGCTGTCAGTAAATCAAGTAGCCGAACCTATTCTGTGATAATGGACCAGTCTAAGAGAGTTTCTATTGACAGAAAAACTTTAGAGAGAAGACTTTCCAGTTGTGAGATTTCTCAAGGTGATGATTCAAACATTTTGGAAGTATTTTCTTCAGCAGATGGTTATGATGTAAAGAGTAAAGCAATGGATGAGACTCAGAGTATGACAGAAGTATCAGGGACTGTAAGTAAAAACCATCCTGTTTTGAGTAAACATGATGTAGCTCAAAATGCAAGTTTAAGCCAAGAGATATCTAAAGGAAATGCTGGCATTTCCAAAACTGAGACTAGCGACTTGCAAAACTACACTGATTCTGTGGAGAGTGATAGAACTTTTGAGAAGGACAGGATTTTGAATGTGTACAAGAGTGATGATGGTGAAATATCAAAAGTTATTACTGGTAAAAAATTAGAGAGTGAAACAAAATCAGATATACTGGTAAATGAAAAGACAGAGGCAGAAGGTTTTCAGGGAGAAGTTAATCATAAAAAAGAAAAGTCAGAAAATGAAGAGAATAGAATGGGAAATAAAGACCAGAATGATACAACTAAGGAAAGAAGAGGGAGAAGAGGAAGAACAGAAGACAGAGGTCAAAGTAGGAGGCTGACAAACGATCAAGAGGAAAGAAGAGACAGGAGATCTAGATCCAGAACTCCAGTCAGGTTCTTATTGGTCTCCAGTAAGTTAGAGACTTCTAGTGGTAGAGAATCACATTGCTGTGAAAAGGACCATTCTTGTGGTGCAGGTGGAATGATAGTGACAGAAGAAAAGGAGAGGGATCAGTTGTCTAAGAAGTTAAAGAAGAAACAAAAGCATAAAGACGAAGAGAAAAATAAGGCTAGTGGGAACAGTGGTAAATTGACAGTAGAGGAAAATGTGAAACTAAACATCTCACTAACTGACATAAAAAATAACACTGCAGAGGAAAACCTAAAGCATACAGATCTATCATTAAGGAGTTCATCATCCAAACAAGTAGAAAGAAAGAGGGAAGTTGATAGAGAACTCCAGGGTGGTGGGAGTGGAAGTGTAGACAAATCAAGAAAACAGGATAAAACAAATCAGGATACAGAGAAGTCAACAGAGGATAATGAGAAGTCTAGAAAGGATATTAAAACATCAACAGAGAACACTGAGAATACAGAAAGGTTGGAACAGGATACAGAGAAGTTGAAACAGGATATTGAGACATCACAACAGGCTACTATGAAGTCAAAACAGAGTACTATAAAATTAAAAATGGATACAGAGACATCAACACAGGATACTGATAGATTAAAGCAAGTTACTGAAAAGATGAAACAAGACACCATGAAATTGAAACAGGATACTTTGATGCAAAAACAAACTACTGAGAAGTCAAAACTGGATACCATGAAATCAAAACAGGATACCATGAAATCAAAACAGGATACCTTGAAATCAAAACGGGATACCATGAAATCAAAACAGGATACCATGAAATCAAAACAGGATACCATGAAATCAAAACAGGATTTTGAGGAGTTGAAACAGGATTCAAAGAAGTCAGAACAGGATACAGTTAAATCAAAATGGGATACTGACAAGTTGAAACAGGGTACCTTGACATCACAACATGATACAGATTTGTCAAAACAAGATACTTTGAAATCAAAATGGGATACTGAGGAGTCAAAAAAGGATACTATAAAGTTGAATCAGGATACTAAGAAGTTAAAGCATGATGCTTCAATTTTAAAACAGGATAATGGGAGGTTGAATCAGGATACCATGATGCTGATAAAGGATAAAGAGAAATCAGAACAACGTGCTGAGATATTGAAACCATTTTCCAGGAAATTAAATGAGGATGCAGAAAAGTCAAAACAGAATATTATTGCATCAGCAAAAGATACTCTAAAATTGGAACAGGATACAATGAAGTTGAAGGATAAAGAGAAATCAATACAGGATTCAGAGAGTACAAAGCAGGATATTGAGAAGATGAAACTGTATACCTTGAAGTCTGAACAGGTTACAGGGAAATCTGCACATAATACTCAGACATCAAAGCAGGATACTCAGACATCAAAACAGGATACTAAGGGGTCAAAACAGGATACTAAGGGGTCAAAGCAGGAGACAGAAACATCAAAACATGATACTAAAACATCAAAACAGGATTCAGAGAAACCATATAACTTGAAGTCTAAACAGGATACAGGGAAACCTCCACATAATACAGAGACATCAAAGCTGGATACTCAGACATCAACGCAGGATACTCAGACACCAAAACAGGAGACAGAAACATCAAAACAGGATGAACAGACAACAATGCAGGATACTCAGACATCAAAACAGGATACTAAGGGGTCAAAGCAGGAGACAGAAACATCAACACAGGATACTAAAACATCAATACAGGATTCAGGGAAAGCAAAACAGGATAATGTGAAGTTGAAACCATATACCTTTAAGTCTAAACTGACTACAGGGAAATCTGCACATTATACAGAAACATCAAAGCTGGATACTCAGACATCAAAACAGGATACTAAGGAGTCAAAGCAGGATACAGAAGCATCAAAGCAGGATAAACAGACATCAAAGCAGAATTCAGAGATATCAAAACAGGATACTGAAACATCAAAGCAGGATATTAAAACATCAAAGCAGGAAACAGAAACATTCAAACAGGATACTAAAACATCAAAGCAAAATATAGAGACATCAAAACAGAATACAGAGACATCAAAAAGAGATACCATAAAGTTGAAACATGATACTCAGACATCAAATCAGGATACCGAAACATCAAAGCAGGATACGGAAGAATCAAAGCAGGATACAGAAACATTCAAAAAGGATAAACAAACATTAAAGCAGGATATTAAGACATTAAAACAGAATAAGGAGACATCAAAACAGGATTCTAA